AAGAACTATGGAGTCTGAAGGCAGATTCAAGCATACTCTTTCCACTTTTTTTTTATGACTTTTCCCTTTCCTTTTGTTTCTTCTTTCACAACATGATTAATGTGGAAATGTTTACATGATTGCACATGTATAACCTTTATCAGTTTGCTTGCTGTCTTGAGGAGGGGTAATGGGAGGGGAAGGAGAAGAAATTAAAAAATAAAAATCTTATAAAAAATCAATGTTGATAACTATATTTTCATGTAATTGGAAAAAAAATAAAATACCATTTATAAAAAAAATTGCCTCATTTCACCCTGTACAAATATGTATGAAAGCACACATATGTTCTTCAGATCATGGCTCATGTTTAGAATTTACACAACTGGGAGAGTGGATAGTCTGCAAAGAAGTGAAGGAAAGAAGTTAGAAACAAAATTATTTCAGTTCATTTTGCATATAAAATGAGTACCCAATTCATGAATGACTGAACATACAAATGGCTGGTGTGTTCTGCACTGTGGGTGGAGAAAAGCTCCTCATAGATCCACGGAAAGGGAGCCTCCATGTTCTTCTCCTGGAAGATAGCCAAAAGTGCTGCTCTGGTTGAGGCATGAATGATCACTTTTAAACCTTTATTTGAGTTTTCCATAGAAATAATAGTTGAACTGGTGCTATCAATCTGTGCTACATAAAATACATGAAATAAATATTATAATACCAACAGGACTATTTCAGCAACTTTTATACTATTTGTCCCATAGTCATTTTGGTTGCATTATTTCTTAGAATAAATGATGTTGGTCAGTTCCACATTAAATTTTTGATTCTATCAGTCAAATGGGATTTTGTGGGCTAGTCTTGGAACTTCACTTAATATTTTCTCTATTCATTTTTAAGTTGGGATCTGCTTGTAAAGAGAGCTGGAAGTCATAAGTCTGGTCTAGAGCAATCTAGTACTACTCTAGTCTGCCCCTAAGCTCCCTTTCCCACCAACCCCAGAAGACTAAAGACTTCAATTAGAAACAGTGGTTAAAAAAAAAAAGATGGATAAGGTAAATGAAATGATAGGGGAGAGCCTGGATTTGGAGGTGGAAGTGTGTTCAAATCTCAACTTTGCTAGTTACTACTCCTTTGATCTTGAGCCAGTTCTTCATTTCTCTATTCCTCAGTTCCCTCTCCTGTGAAACCAGGGAATTTGTGACGATACAGTGAAAAAGAGAGTTAAGAGTTAGAATTGCAGTGAACATAGTAGGCACTTAATTGACATGGATTTGAATTCTGGTTTGGTTGCTCTACTGGTATGACCCTGGTCAAGTCTTAACTTCTTTGGACCTCAGGTCATCACCTATAACATGAGGAATTTGAACTTGATGGTCTCCAAGGTTTCTTACAGATCTAAATTTATGATCCAGTGAACTATAAAATAGTTTAGACAAGATGATCTTTAAGGTCCCTTCCAACTCCAACAGTCTATACTTCTATGACAGAACTGAGGAGATAAGCTTGTGCTGTACTCCTTCCTTCTAGGGCTAATTTGCTACATGACCATGGACAAATCACTTTACTTTTCTGGGGTATTTTCCTCATGTGTAATATGAAGGGAGTGGACTCAATGATATCTAAGGTCCCTTTTAGTTCTAACTTTCCACAAATGCCACCCTTCAAACTTGATACTGGAATAAAAAGTCGAGGAAGAGGACTTTTTTTTTCAAAAGCTGCTGTCTCCTTTTCAAGATGATTACCCAAGGTCTAACCTGCAACAGCTGAGAATGAAGGTTCAAAGTTATCAGACTATACAACGCACTGAGTGCAAACTGACCCAGGCAAATGTTTGATGGCTTAAAACAGACAATCTTTTTTAATCTACTTGGCATTTCAGATTCAGCTAAGATCTCTCAGGTTACATGGAAATATTCTTTTAGTAAATTCTTCACCTTCTTGAGAAGGTTCCCTGAGACAACTATCCTTTCTAATTTATAGCCTCTTATAAGTCAAGTGCCACAGCTGCTTATTAAGTGAACTAACAGAAGACAGAATGACCATAAAGTTTACTGATTTCTAAATGGTCTCATTTGATATTGTTACGTACACAAATTAGTACCTTGCACACAGCAGGTACTTAAAAAATTGTTTGCTGAATTGAAACTTAAAAAGCATTTTTCAAGTTTGAAAAGAACCATATAAGAAAATACTATTGCTATACCAAATTACTATTTTATAGAGCTTTATGAAATTTATTTGGAAAAATAAAAAAAATCTAGAATGTTAATGGAAATGAAGAAAACTAGGGATGAAGGGAGAATAGAATTTCCAGACATTAAACTATAGTATAAAGCATCAAAGCCATCTGTTATTGGTTAAAAAATAGAGAGATTGATCAAGGGAGAATCAGAAACAATAGAACTCAATAATCTAGTATTTGATGAAAGTGGAAAACAATTACTTTAAAAACTCCTTATTTGATAAAAAGTGCTGGGAATATTGAAAAGCAGTCTGGTAGAAATTAGGCTTAGACCAAGACATTACACCATATTCCACAATACATTCTGATGGATATATGACCTAAATATTAAAGATCATACTATAAAAAATTAGAAAAGAAATAGATCATATACCTCTCACTGCTAGAAATAGGATGTGTGTTCTTAACCAAAAAAAAAAAAGAGAGGTAGAAGGAATTACAAAAGATAAAACAGATAATTTTGATTATTTGAAACTGAAAAGCTTCTGCACAGACAAAATTAATGTACCTAGGATAATAAGGGAAGTAGTCAAATGGGGGAAAAATCTTAATAATGAATTTCTGATAAAGGTTTGGTATCCAAGATTGATTACATATAGATAACACATATATGTATACACCCACTCATATACATACATATATATGTGTGTCTGAGTCATTCTCCCATAGATATGTGGTCAAAGGAGATAAACAAAACAGTTTTCAAAAAAATTGCAAAGTATTCATAATCACAGGAAAGAATACTCCAAATCACCAATAATAAAAGAAATGCAAATCAAATCAATCTTGAGGTTTTACCTCACACCTTGCAAATTGGCAAAAATGAAAAAAAAATGGCAATAGTCAGTGCTGGAGGGGTTGTAGAATAACAGGCACACTAATACATTATTAGTGGATCTGTGAAATGGTACAACATTTTTGGAAATATGATTTTAAATTATGTAAATAAAGTAATTAAAATGTCCATAACTACTAAATCCATTAGTGGGCTTATACCCAACGAAGTCATTGATAAGAGGAAAGTCTCCACATACTCCAAAATGTTTATAGTGGCACTTTTTGTAATAACTAAGAATTAGAAACAAAGTAGGAATATTACTGTGCTGCAAGAAATGATACATGTGATGAATATAGTGAAGCATGGATAGATCTACAAAAGCTGATGCAGAGTAAAGCTAAGCAGTCAAAATATGTATATATATACACACACACACACATTAACTACAACAATGTAAAAGGGAAAATACACACTAAAAAATCAAAAGTAAATGTAACAAAATTGTAAAGAAATGAAGAGACATGAGAGGACACCCCTAACATATACCTTTGTGGAGGTGGGAGTTCCACAGGTATTACACATCGCATGTTTTCAGATTTTTTTCAACATATTGATTAGGTGTGTTGATTTTTTTTCCTCTCCCAAAATACTATTTGTTATAGGGGGACTGCTCTCTGGGAGGGGGGACAAGAATATTTGGAATAACCATGATGATGTAAGAAACAGAAGACATCAGTCGAAATATTAAAAAAAAAAGGCTACCACTGGAACTCAAAAACGGAAGCAAAAGTAATTTTTGGAAAATGTTAAACATATGAACATAATTCATCAAGTATTAAGAACCTATTATCCTGGAGAAAACAGTGAGACTTTTAAAATGAGGAAGGCTGGACTAAACTCCTACAATTGGGAAAACAGTAAAAAATGGAGTGATTGGAGTTTAAAGTGAGGATACAGAATTGGTTTAGGAGTAAACCAGAGGGACAGCTGGAATAATAAGAGGTTTTGCTTAGAGATTTTATGGCTCTAGATTAGGATATATGTTATGAGTGATGGTGGAATCAAAGGTACGACTGCGATGACATGAAGGTGAGCCCAAATGATATGGCTGAGGTAGAGTGAAAATGTAGGACACAGGAACTGTGGTTAATGAACTAGGAGGACAGCGTACTTGAGAAAACATTTATATGCTGGAATCTCCAAGTATGAGGTTAGAGATTAAGGTTGAGGGGTGGAAAAGGGAATAACCATTTATGCAGCATCTACATGTGCCAGGCACCGTGCTTAACACTAAAAAAATTATCTCATTTGGTACTCACAACACTGTAAGAGAGATGCTAATATCCCCACACAAGACTGCCATGTACTAAAACACCTTTAACAAATGCTAGGAAATAACTCAAGGTTGGTAGATAACTGTAACAATGACAAGTACAATAACCAAATTAGAATGAACCTTAAAAGAGTTGTTCAGTTAAGGTTATAGTAATAGAGAAGGGTCTGAAACTGGCAGTGAGGAGCAAGGAAGCTTACTTTTCCTATTGACCCAGTACACTGGGGGGATATGAGAAAAGCTCTACCCTGTACTGGAAAGGATGCTGAAGAATCTTCTGTGTGGAAGATATATTTCCAGAAGTATCAGCAGATACAGAGTAAAATGAAGAGGTCTAGGCTAAAGGGGCTATAGTGGGAGGGGAGGGTATGTCAAGAACTGAGGAGGGGTAGGGATGAGGTGAATGGGCATGAAAGAATCATGACTGTGAGCAATTTTGCCTAGATGCCTGAAACACGAAAAAAAGATGATTAGGAAACGAAATGGGAGTCTGCTAGACTTAGGAAGGGCAGACGGTATCATTTGACTAGGGTTCCCAACATTGAAATTAAGAATTAAACTCTTGGTTCTATTAGAATAAAAAAAACAAGCCCTGAGCTAAACTAAGCAAAAAGAGCTGAACATCTCTATTTTACACTCAGTCCAACTATATACAACACTGTAAATCATTATTTATAATTATAACTCACTTTTATTTCCAATTATTTCCACTAAAGACTTTATTCACAAGACAAAAAACACGTTATCCCCGACTTAAAAAAAAAATCAAAACCTTCTGTCAGCTCCCCCTCCCTAGACTGATTGATGTAGGTTAAGTAAGCAATAACGGTGGCATTTCTGCTTTTAAATAAAAAAACCACCTTTGCCCTATCATGGTCCCAATAATATTACTTTTTTTAAGCAACCACCAGAAATCAGAGAAAAGAGAAATAGTACTATGAAGATTCCTCCTCTTCTCTGGAAATAACTTTCCACAGTTTCGTAGTGTCTGTGAAGCCAGGAGGTCAGCAAGATGAAATACAGGGCACTGAGAGGGCCTCCAATGTCTGTGGACATCTTTGATTTTTATGCTGTCACTAGCTGTTACTTCAATCACTCCCCATACTTCTGACACACAATGAAAAGCACTTCTTGACAGATTTTCTGCTTTAATCATTACAATCAGCAAACTTGTCTTGTATTTCTCCTGTTCTGGAAGGACAAAGGTCCAATGTAGTTAAGGTATAGGGATTCAAAGGAGGTGAAAATCTTATACACCATCTCCTAAGGGAGATAAAGTTCTCTTACTAGTAAGAAAATATCACTGCAACACAAATTACATTACTCTAATGTTTCTTCTTGTAATCCCTCATGTGTGCAGCAATTGAACCAGCTATTTCTGAGTTCTTCTTGTTTTGGCCAAAATAATCTAGAAATTCACCATCTGGGCCAATCAAGTACATTATTATTGTATGATCCACCTGTACAGAAAGAGGAAAATATAAACTGGTGAGACAAGCAACAGCTGTGGACAAAGAGGATAGCATAACTTTTACCAATGATTATTAAAAAGTATTGTTACATTACCAAATCTGACTTTGCAAGGCAAAAGTGCTGTGTAAAATTTGGGCCAAATTATGTTACAGTAATTTCCTAAGGACTGACCAAATATTCTTCTGTGTAACAGAATGTTATTATATCAAATATTTCTTGATATATTAGTCAGAGATTATATTCCCTGATTCCTTTTAATAACCCCCACCTCCAGTCTCCAGTTTTCAAAGAGTAGATACTTCATTCAGTTTTTTTAAAAAAAGCATCTTTTCAAATGAAATTACTGACTTCAAGCAGAGGTTCCATCCTTTCTACCTCTACATGCTCCAGAGTGGGTTGGGCAGGCTTCCTCAATTCTTCCTTCCCAACCTGAATGACTTTACACTGAAAATACCCAGATTCTCTAAAGTCTACTTCAGAGATCATTAGGCATGCTAAAAGAGGCAAATAACCAACCATCCTAGCCAATAAATTTTCTTATCTTGTGCTGTATGTGAAGGAGGGTCTACCTATTCAATGCAACTACTTGGAAATGCTATTTAAGAGCATGTACATGATATGGGGAAAGAGAAAAGAAAGGAGGCAACAGTGATGCAAAAAAAAGGACCTTATAATTTTTTAAAAAAATAAACAGAAGAGAACAGAAAGAATTCAGAAGGAAATATAGAAAACCAGGACAATTTTAAAAGTAATGTGTAGAATTTATTACCTACTTTTAAAGAAAGTAAGCAGTGTGAAATGGAAATTCAACTTCATATAGAATTTTCTTTTTGTCTTCTGTCATGTGCATGGAAATGCTCTCTTTTTTGTTCAAGTTAATAAAATAATTTTTTTTTAAAAAATAGCATGTATGCATACTAATTTATGAACAAAACATTTCATCCAATTCCTGAACTTTAATATATCTTCTTTATAGTGCCTAGGAAATAAAAATGTAAAATGGTGTCAATAAGAATGTTACTTCCTCATGCTAAGTTTAAATAAGCACAGGAATTTTTATTTTCAATTGGAATAAGTATTTGATCAAGACAGTTTATTACCTATATTATTAATACTTAACTATGCATAAACCTAGAAGGAGCCAAGAAGCTAAGAGAAGTAAATCAGCAACCTGGTTAACAAATTTGGACAGCGAATTTATTACTGTTGCCAGGAATTTCAAATGTGGAGACTTAGGGAAGGAGATTATTTTATCTTCTCCTTTATAAACGTCACCCACCAAGTAATCCTATCTGAAGTAAAGCTCCCTGCATACTCCTAAAAAGGCATACAAATGACACCCTTCTGAAGTCATCTTAAATCCATTACCCTCTTTTCCTCTTCTGGTAGAGTTCCTAAAACTGTTCCTAGTTTATTTTTCTCTAATTTAAGGTTGGATTAGCCTGCTAATCTTAGCTAAATGTCCCCAGAAAGTCCTATTTTAAAAGGACACTTCAAATATTGTAGCTATCAATCAAGAACATAATACTCAGTACCAGAGTCCTCAAAATTAATAGTATGTTTGGCTATTATTTGGCAAGAAAGACTGGAATGCATACCTAATACCAAACTGGAGACACACATCTATAAATACAAATATACATTGTACAAGGTTGTTTCTTATATGCACACATATGTATAGAGAAAGAGCCAGAGCGTCAAGTGCCAAAGGTCTATTCACTTACAGCAAGAATTTATGCTGAGGGAATTAAAATAGCTAATGGTTTCTTTTGTCTCAGAATAACTCAGTAGGGGAGCTCAACGCTCACAAGGAATCCCCAGCTACCCCTTGGCATGTATGCTGTAATCAGAATATATATAGTAAGCAGCACAAACTGTTTCTTTCCATTTTTGTCTTTGATCCAACTCTGAGCACAGCGTCTGACAAATAATAGATACTTAGTGTTTGTTGAATCAAACACAAAATTCTCCTAACACTCCCTTCCAATGTTAGATGATGACATTTATCACAAAGAGGCTATGAGCTTAACTGTATTAGGTTGGAAAGATTTCATCTAAAGAGAAACATGAGATTACATTCCAATGCCTGGCAAATTTTATCAGCTTTGATAGAACTAAGGTATTTTATATTATTTACAAAGAAAGCTCAAGGAAAAACAACATTTCTATTATAATTTTCTGGATGAAACATAAGCTTCAAGTATCTTGAAAGCTTTGTATTTGAGACATAATATTTTAAGGTACTGAATAAAACATGGTAAGCAAGATGCTTTAAAATGATCAATAAAATATGGTAAGAATAACGAATATGCCTTAGAGCTAATTAAAGATGAAACACATAAAAAGTTGGGATCTGGGATTTCTTTGGTAAAGGGAATTCTCAAGTGAGGAAACTCTTTCTACCAATGCAGGCTGGTACCTTCTCTGCACAAAACACTGAAAAGGTTAAATGACTTCGTCACTTACATAGTTAGAATATGTAAGAGGTGGGACTTGCTTGGTAATCAAGGCTCTGAGGCTGATCCTCTATCCAATCTCAAAAATTTTGGCTTCTATTTTATAGCAAGCCCTCCACTCTTGCCCTGGATATGTTTCTTAGTTTGGAAAAGTCTGTCTTGAAATAACCTGGATTTTTTATTTCTTAATCAATGATGAGCTATTAAAGGATTAAATAAAACTGCTTTTCTTGTGGTTAATTTTAATTTTTCTCCTTTTCATACTAATATCATTATTTAAAAAACAAATAAAAAACAGTTTCTAAACTTTACATAATGACACCATTTTTTACAAATAAAAAAATTGTCATGTCTCCACATTAATTTATAAAATGATTCTTTAGCTTGTATTTTATTCTAATAAAATGCATTACAATTTAAACTACACAAAGCTTAAATAAACAATAAAAATAATGTATAAAATAATCTAACTTGGTTGTGCTCTATTCACTGCCATACAAGATCACAGAGTCATATCCTGTAAAATGAAAGGGTCCTTTAAGGTCATTTAGTTCATCATGCTTCATTTTAAAATCAAGGAAATGGAGGATTAGAGAGTTCAAGCAACTTGCCCAAGATCACACAGCACATATTAGTTTAGAGTCTACATTTGAGAGAAGTGGTTATCTTTCTATTATATTAATAACCAATTATTAAATTAGGAGTGAGGTTTTTCCTTTCTATTTCCTCATTTGGGGACCAATCCCTGTAGGCCAGTCAGTCTCTGAAGGGCACTGCCAATAGATGAGATTGTTCAAATCCTTCGGGTACATGCTCTGCAAACTTGGGCAGGACCCCACCCAACTAGAAATCTTTACAAACAGAATCTAATCTAGGTGAATTTTTGCCCTCAGTCAATATGCCCATACCATGTTATACTCCTCCATTAGAGCCTAAAGGAAGCCAGCTTATGAAGGAGAAAAACAACCAGAGTGGTCTGGGTAGAGATGGATTTCTTTGTCTAAATTGCTGGAGGCAGTTGAGTCTCATGATAGTCACTTTTCAGTAGGAGAAGCGGAAGGCTTTGAGTTCACCTCCTCATTACTATGTCCACTCCTTCATTAATTGTTCACCAACCAGGGTTGATTTTACATGTCAGGGTACTTCCTTTTCCAAAAGCATTTAAGCATTTAGGGACTGCCATGGTTTTGTCTTTAATTATTGAGAGAAACTACTAACCGCCAATTTATTATCAGCCAGTCTAATTAATAAATTGATTACTAATCCCAGAAACTCTGTCTCTCAGGCTTTCCATTCATCTTAATTTGAACCCAGATCCTCTGAGTTTCGAAAATTCAACTTTTTCTTCCACTGCACCATACCACTTCCCAAAAGGCACAGGGGGAAAAAAAAAGATCTTGGAATCTTTAATTCTATGTACAAGGCAAGCTAGATACCTAGGATCAGGTGTGGGTATCTGATTGTCATAAAGAGGAATCACTGTACTAAGTATCTTTCTCCAGTGGCGGGTCCCAGCTTCTCCCTCTGCAGTAAGGCCATGTACAAATTTATGATGGGAAGAGCATGGAGGTGAGGAAAAGTAAGTGACTCAGCCCTAGTCCAACAACTGTACTTTTCCCTTCTTCCACTCCCTATGAAATGGAACAGATTTGCTGTGTTAATTTTATTTTCATTGACTTTGATCTGAACTTTATATACTTAGGTGGGAATTATATTTTAAAATATCCCATTTTGGAGTTTATTCCCAATTTGGAAAACTACCTTAAAATAATCTTGGCTTTTGTCCCTCAATTTCTCCCCTTGGCTATTGTAGAGATTTGCTGAGCTTACATATACCATACCTTCCCCAAGAGATGTCTATTTAGGTGAAACAAATGAAATATTCAATGGAATAAAGAACTGACTGTTGAGGAGCAGAGAGGAGGATGTAGGTAATATGTGGCTGTAATGATTCCGTGTTACTTCCTGATGAAGGATAGTAACAAATCCTCAATATTCTATCAACTAGAGATATATTAAGAGTTAAAATGCTAGCATTTGCAGAGATTTAAGCCTACCGCACATTACACCTTAGGGCAAATTATTTAAAGATACTTAAGTGATATTAACTCTCCTGGGAGAAGAGGCTCATATCAGCTTAGAACTAGATAATTACGGAAACTGAAGAAAGACCCTTTATGAAATGAAAGGCTTTGGGGGGTACTGGGCTCTAAAGAGATAGAAGGGCTGAGGATTTAAGATTTGACAGTGTAAAAGAAAAATGTTTTTCAATTATGTCAATATGTAGTAGAAAGAAGAGGAAGAGATCTGTAAATGCATCCCTTATTGCCACTTTCTTCTTCCCATTATTAATACAGCAGTCCTATTTTTCTTGTGGGATTCCTCTATTTATTGTTTTGGGACCAATTTTGTTTTTCAAGAGAGGAAGATCCAATGTTAACTACATCTTAACTTAGGAAAAGGGAATTCTCCAAACTATGGTTAAAGAAGAAAGGCAGGGAGAAAATAAGAGAATAAGAAAGGAAAATACAGTGGACTGGAACAGAACAGGAAAAAGAAAACCAGAAAGGAAGGGAAAGAGGGAAAGAGTGATAGACAATCATGAAAGTAAGGAAGAGAAGCTTAGTAAGCTTAGTAAGCTGGTTCAGTGGTAAGCACTTTTTGTTACATATTCTATTTTCCTGAATAACAGAATTTAGAATATCTCTATCACATGTTATAATTCTTCTCTGAAACCGATATTGTTTTTTCTGGAAGGGCAAATAGAGCATTTGCTTTTCTAATTAAACACTAAAGAGTATTTGCAGAAAATGTTTATTTTCCAGTGGAATTATGAAAGTTTTGCATAAAGAGGTTTAAGGTTTAAGCCTTAGAAGTACTTGATTAATCTTCCAAACTACAAGCCTGACAGTTCTTTAACATTCAAAGCTATATGGCTGCTTTACCTTTCTTTCTTTACCAAAGGGGCCTCTTTCCACAACTTTATTTATTTATTTCTTTTTTAAAGAATGATCTCCTTATTTCACCCAGGCTAGAAGTACAGTGGCTACTCATGGGTCTTAACACCACTATTGATTAGCATAGAACTATTTCCAATCTGGGCCAATTTGTCTCTCACCTTTGGCGACCTAGGGCCCTCCTCCCCGTCAATCCTGGGATTTCACCATAAGGGACTTAGTGTAGACATTAGATTAGCTTAGCCTTAGCCCACTGCAGCTCAAAACGCCTGAGCTCCAGATATCCTACTGCTTCACATTCCTCATTAAGAAGGATTACAAGAGGGTTATCACACTGGGCAAGAACTTCTTAAAGATTACAGGAGAAGGCAATCATTGTGGTACAGAGGAAAGTGCAATAGCTTTGGAATCACTGGAATCAAAGTCTACCTTTGTAATTTACTACTACAGGGACCTTAAGTCACTTAACTAGGTCTTCTTTTCCTCATTTGTAAAATGAAGGGCAGATCAGAGGGCCCCTGAGGGCCATCCTAACTCTAAAATGACAGCCCTATAATCTTTCCCTCTATGGATCTCAAGATCTACTACCTTTGCTATACTGGAAAAGTCTATGCCTACTCAGGGTACATACTCTAGCAACAAAAACCTGAGGACCTGAATTATGGTTCCCTCTACTGGTGAATTTACTCAATAACACTAGAATAAACATTTGCTGAAGATGCCAGGTAGTGCAACTCCCTCATTTTACAGATGAGGAAACTGAGGCCCACAGAAAGGGAAAGAAATCACATGGGTAATTAGCATAGGGTATAGAAGCTGAACCACGGTGTTCTGATTCAGATACACTGCTTTTCACATACCATTTTGCCTTTTCCTTGTCTCCCACCATTGAAACTTAACCACTAATTTCCAAACACAATTATTACCCTTGGGGCTTCTGGGAGAGGTGGGGCAGGTAGCTGGAGGAGCTTGAAGGAAGTCTGGTGCTGGACCACTTGGGGGCCTATGAAAAATGGGCAGGCAAGGTTGGGAGTAGATTATTCTGTGCCCCACCAGCAGTGTTAAGGCTAGAGCCCTTCATGTGGATTCAAATTCTTTTCACGGGTGGACCCCAACTTACAAATGAGTTCTACTTCAAAATTATGTCAGCAATCTCAATTCAGAGCATATTTTCCCACAGAAATAATGCTACAAGTGGGGAAACCAATTAATTTAAACAATGAAAACCTAATTTGTCCACAAATGATAACTTCTGCTTCCTTATGACAGAGTACAGCCCAACCTTATGACAGAGTACAGCCCAACCTTGAAGTTTGGTCATTTGTCCCTAATCCATTTTTATCTCAAAACAAAGACACTTCCTTAAGGAAATGTGTGTAGCTAGTGCAATTCTCTTTCTTTTATTTCTTTTTTTTCTCATCCCTGAATCCAATGGTATTCTCCAGAGGTTATTATGGGAATATAAGAAATTAGGTCTGGAACTGGGCATTTACTTACTATATAGTCTTCATCTTCATCCTTGGGTCCTGGGCTGTAGTAAACTCTGTATGCTCTGGCAACTTGATCAATCTCTTTTGGACCACCTGTCAAGCCAACTAGCTTGGGAGAAAATTCTGAAAAGGAAACCAACAAATGAGAATGGTGTTGATGTAGTACATGCAAAACAGCCTTCTCTATCTGAGAAGTCAGCATTAATTTTCAGTGTTAAATGAAACATGTTGGCTTGGATGCACCCCATGATTTTGCTTGACCCTAATCATTTCTAAGGTGCTAAGAATTTCATCTGGCAAGGTCATGAGAATTCGTCTAATACAGATCAAACTCTTTAATGGTAACCACCACTACAAAGCCAGAATGTATTTATTTTAAAAACTTACAGAATGTTATAGAATGTTAAACTGGAAGGGACATCAGAAACTATCTAATCCAATCCCTTCATTTTACCAGTGAGCAAACTGAGGTCCATCCAGATTATGTAACTTGCTCAAGGGTTGAGGGTAGAAGCAGGAGGCAAATCTAGATCTCTTTTTATAATTTCTTTTCATTTAAATCATTTTTGGGGGTTAATAAAAATTTTTAAATAAATACCCAAGTAAAAGCTTCATTTAGTAGATACAGCTCAAAAAATGATCAAAGAATAGGGATACTTTATAAGCATATGGTGACAATAATATAATTGTGCAACCTTTTAAAGAAAATGTCCTAAATAGTTCATAGCAAGTTATACACTTTCTTCAGGTAATTTTCTTGTTAATATATTTAATGTTTAGTACCAGTGTCAATCTCTAACTACTGATAAAGAAGAACTGATTACGGCTGGGCCATCTTTCTACAACATCAACTATAATAAATTTCTTGGCTAAGACTAATCCATTCAAGAACCCATCTTGATGAAGTCAAATCAGTGAAATGGTAGAAGACATTTCATGTAGGTTCATCAGACATTAAGACTTTTCCCATCAAAAGTGCTTTCCACAAGTGCAGAAAATGTATTTTCTTCTTTTAGACTAATTCATTTTAAATTGAATAGCTGTTCAGGAATCAAAAAAGTAGAGCAGCTTGGTTTTTTTTTTTCATTCTACTTAGGAAGAGGGCAATAAAGCCCATTAGTTACATATCTATATTTTTTAGTTTCTTACTAATTGCTGAAATAAGATTAATTTTTGCTATTAAAGAAATCCTTAATTTCAAATAATTGAGGAATTTAATATTCAAAAATATACATGTAAAATATGTTAAAACTATATTTATTTGTTGAATAAAGATAGTTACAATATGTAAGGGGTAAAACAATTAAAATATCTTATTTTTGGTGATGGTTGTAGCTGTCCTAAACAATGTATGATAAAACACCGAAGCCATGATTTGGATTGAATTGAAGATGACTCAGCTCCCAAAGCCCTCATGAAGCTTTGCTTCAATTTGCTTTCAAAAATAAAATACCCATATCATCATTTTGTTCTGTAATGTAACTGTAAAGGTTATTAGAAAAAAAATTAAATCAATCGGTCAGTCAGCATTTATTAAGTTTTCCTGACACTGTGCTAAGCGCCAAAATACAAAAACCCCCAAGACAATACATATCCTCAGGAAGCTTACATCTCAATGGGGGAAACAACATATATAAATCAGAACATACAAGATAAGTACAGAGGGAGACAACATGCAAAAAAATATTATAAGATATATACAACATAAATAGAGGGAACAGCATCACCAACAGGAAGGATTAGAAAAGGCCTTCTGGAGGATCTGACAATTGAGCTGAGTTCAGCGCAAAGATTCTAAGAGTCAGAGGTTGAAATGAAGAGTATTGCAGACATGGGGAGTAGCCAGTGCAAAAATGTCGTGTATGAGATAAAGTAAAAGCAGCAGTATGGCAGGATCAGAGTGTGTAGAAGGATAGAAGAAGCTAAGAAAACTGAAAAGGCAAGAGGGAGGCAGGTTGTAAAGAGTTTTCAATGTCAAATAAAGGACTTTATACTTAATCCTGGAGGTAACAGGGAGACACTGGAGTTTACTGATGTGGGAAGGGTTTGGGAAGAGAGCAGTAACATGCTCACCTACTTGAGAAAAACCATTCAGAGCTTAACACTTGCCCTCTCCATGGGGGATTTCTAAACTGGGCTGTTCTCAGATTCTTTTTCTCTTCCCCAAGCCATCACTACCTATACCAGAAGACCGAATGCATTCTTTAGGTAAATTTTTTTTAATATGCAAGAAACCACACACACAAACATCATATACACACTCTTCAAAATATGGGCAGAGTTGCAGAGAAAAGATAAAGGGTGACAACAAACAGAATGGTTGATAATGGTTCTTTTCTTCTGAGTTAATTTACCTTAGATTTGTAGGGAGGTCAGATGAACAGTTCATCTTTGGGCCGAGGCCTAATTTCAGTCCTTCATGTAGAGCAGGAGATGACAGAAAATGAAGTAAGGTTCACTAGCTAACAGAACTAAGCTTTAGTTTACCGAGGACTAATGCAGGTTCTCTTTATTACAATCATAGTTCTAGGCCCAGTCACCATTCTTTATGTGGTGTCTAGATCCTAGAACAGTCCCCTTTTTCATCGTCTCATATTCTTACTCAGTACTACAGACTATTGTACCTTGTCAAGGTACCCAGGGACCAGGGGAATTATCATTCTTTGAGATGATCAGGACTGATCTCACTACAACTGTGCCAGACAGGTTTTCTTATGGGAGTCTTGAAACCTGAGGAATCTCTCAAGAACTTGTCTTACTTGGACATGGGAGATTGTGGGAGCTATTCTATTACTTCCATTACGTATGCCTGCTTACAAGGAATGTAGGTTTGGCTCACGGAGGCAAATGGCATCTAGTGATCAAAGGATAACTGAAGATCAAAAGATAAGGCAGGTTCAAGGACCAAGCCACATCGAGCTCAGGGTCCTGACTAGGGCAAAGAAGTGAAGGAGGCAGGGTTGGGGATTCAGCCCCAAATGTTCTAGTTAAGCTTCATTATCAGTTGGTTTAGAGAGTCTACTGTGTTGTGCTAGTTGTCCTGGGTATTTGAGTGATGCCAAATGTAGGAAAACGAGGATTTATTCCTAAATAAATAACTTAAAATGTATAAAGTATCTGTTACAAAAACAAAACTTAAATCTACTTTTAAGTAGGAAAGTTATTATGACAATATTTAGAATCTGGAAGTGATCTTAGGGATTATCTAACCCCCTCTCATTTTATAGATGAAGAAACTGAGGCACAAAATGGTTAACTATCTTGATCATCATTGTCAAGATATTTAAGTGATTTATTTGATTTATCCAAGGTCCTACAGCTAATCTGTGTTAAGACAAGACTGGCCTAGTACAATAAAAACATTCAGTGCAATGCAACAGCATGCTTATGGACACATGGATCAAAATGCTTTATTTGAAATGAAGCGCTAGTCTCTATCAATAATAGTAAGTGAAGAGTCTCAGTGGAGTCAGGGATGAAAGAACTTCTAAGAAACATCTATTTTTTGTTAAGATGAATTACTAATTTTAATGTGGCAGTTAGGTGGCTGAGATGAGTCCTTGGTCATTCAGTCTAAGGACTATTTGGTAAGGAAAAGGAAAATATTGCTTGGGGATGAACTATGTCTTGATTTTTTTATTTCTAAGGTTCCTTTCAATTCTAAATTAATTTATTCTATTAGCTAAAATAGCTTTTTTGTAAGTTAGCCTTGCAACCTAACCAAGGGAAAAATAGTTCTGATTCTAGGCAACCAACATAATACTGCAATGGAACTCATTTGTCTTCCTAATTCCAATTCTTCCAAGACATTAGTAGCCTTAACCCAATACTGAAGGTGCAGTACAAAACAATCCAGTTTTACATTATTCAATCAAGATCAAATAAGATAGCAACTGCAACATAAGGGCTTTTCAAATTATAAAGTGACAATGCTATTATTATAAAATAATACTACTATTGTTACATTACCTCAACTAGGCCCTGATTGTTGCTAGGTAATCCTACTATAACCTTATCAATTCACAATCCTACTCTCCACAATAGCTCTTACAAACCTTTTCATTCTTTCTCAAACCTCTCATGGTTCCCCTCCTCCCCCTACTCTCTCAGCTGGGAATCTTGCCTCATATTTTCAGAAAAAATTGAGGCCATTTGCCATGAACTTCCTCTTATCCTCTGATCCTAATCTCCTATCACTCAGCTGCCTTCTGCTATTTTCTCTTCCTTCACTCCTCTCATATGATGAAGAAGTCTTATTCCTTACCAAGGCTTAATCCCTCTTCTTGTTCAAAGGAGCCCATTCCAACCTGTCTCTTCCAACAGATTATTGCCCCTTCTGTTATCCCCACTCTTTCATTTATTTTCAGTTTCTCCCTCTCTACTTGTTCATTTCCTACTGACTACAAACACGTCCATGTCTCCCTTATCCTGAAAAATCCCTCACTTGATCCTTCTATCCCTGCTAATTATTATCCCATATCACTTCTGCCCTTTGTAGCTAAACTCCTCCAAAAGGCCATCTACAATAAATGCCTCCACTTTCTTTCTTCTCACTCTTTTTTTAATCCCATACTATCTGGCTTCTGACCTTATTATTCCACCAAAACTTCTTTCCAAAGTTACTAATGATCTTTTAGTTTCCAAACTCAGTGGCCTTTTCTCAATCAGCATTCTCTTGACCTCTCTGCAGTCTTTGACACTGTTGATCAATCTCTCCTCCTTCTTACTGCTGTCTCTCTAGGTTTTCAGGACATCACTCTCTCCTACCTATCTGACCACTCCCTTGCTGGATCCTCCTCTAGATCATGCCTTCTAATCATAGGTGTCCCTAATGTTTTTCTCCTGGATTCTCTTCTCTTCTCTCTCTATACTACTTTACTTGGTGATCGCACGGGATCAGCTCCCATAGATTTAATTACCATCTCTATGCCAATGATTCCCAAATCTACCTATAGTACTCCAAACTCTCCACTGACCTCCAATCTCACATCTCCAACTGCCTTTCAGATATCTCAAACTGGATGTCCAGTAGACATTTTAAACTATGTCCAAAAAGGAATGCTCCCCACCTCCTATCTTCTCTATTACTGTAGAGGGCAATACTATCCTCCCAGTTTCACAGTTTAACAACCTAGAAGTCATCCTGGATTCCTAACAACCTCTTACCTCCCTCCCAACACCCACTCCCACCCAAGCTGCTGCCAAGGCTTGACAATTTCACCTTTGTGACATCTCTTAAATATGCCTCCTCTCCCCCATCATTCTAGTGCAGGCCCTCATCACCTCATACCTGGACTATTACAACAGTTTATTGGTGAGTATGTCTTCCTCACTCCACTTCCCACTGCAATTCAATCTCCCTCTATTCATACACTAAAGTGATTTTCCTAAAGTACAGGTCTGATCATGTCATCCCTACTTAATAACCTCCAGTAGTTTTCCTTTTGCCACCAGGAACAAATACAAAATGCTCTGGCATTCAAAGTCATTCATAACTTAGCTCCCTCTTACCTTTCCACTGTTATTACTTCCTAACATACTCTTTGCTTCAGTGATACTGGCCTCCTGCCTGTTCCACTTACAAGACATTCCATCTCTCAGCTGTAGGCATTTTCTCTGGCTGTCCTTCATGCTTGGAATGCTCTCCCTTATCAATACTGACCCCCTTGGCTTCCTTTAAGCTCCAACTAAAATCCCACACGCTACAGGAAGCTTTCTTCAACCTGTTTTAATTCCAGTGTCTTCCCTCTTATAATTACTTCCTATTTATCCTGTATAAAGCTCATTTTGTATATATTTGTTTGCATGTTGTCTCCCCTGTTAGATTGTTCATTGAGAGCAAGGACTATCTTTTGCCTCTTTTTGTATCTCTTAGTGTATAGCACAGTGTCTGCTACACAGTAGATATTTGATAAATGTTTACTGATTGATTATAATTACTCTGTAGCCCTAACCCCATATTTTACTCAGGCCACTCATCTGGTCAAGCCCCATATACCTTTCAGTGATCTCTACCTATCTGATCCACCTATCCCACAGTCTGAGAGTAACAATATTCTTGGAAACAGTGGCTTTAAAAAAATCCAATGCTATGAGATGGGGAAAAGGTTGTAAGGGGGTATAGTGGGAAAAGCAGTGGACTTGGAATGAAGTCTGGTTGAAATCACAACCTGTGTAAAACCTTGGTCTTCTCATCTGCAAAATAAAGAGACTAAACAGAATGGCCAGTTTTCAAAATCTTATGACCATAATGCTATTACCACAAAGACCACTCCCCTATGTATGCTGTATTACTTTATCAGAATGTAAATTTTTTTCAGGGTAGGGACTGTCTTGCTTGTTTGTATCTGTAACTCTGAAGCTTAGCCTTTCATATAATAAGTTCTTAATAAATGCTTTCCCACAATAATGGCTTTTGCTAGGCTTTTAAATTTTGTATTTCACACACGCACACACACCAGTTAGAAAGTGTACTATTTTCATGACTTTAAAAATGAAAATTAAGGCACAGAACTAGGACAGGAACCCAGTTCTCCTAGTCCAGACCCTTCATGGCTTAATTTAAGCTGTTATACTGCCATGAAAACAAAATTAAAAACAAAATCATTACAGAAAGTGTCATCAGAAAACTCAGTTTCTAGTTCTGCTTCTACCACTTACTAGTTGGGTATGTCTTTAAGTAAGTTACTTAAGCTACCTCAGCCTCATTTTCCTCTTCTGTAAAGGGGGGTAATAAATGCCTTTACTTCTTACTTAGAGTTGCTGCCTCAAATGAAATAATACGTATGAAAGCACTTTGAAAAGACCATAAAAAATAATACAAATGTAACGTATCATTCTAACTACTGATGATAGTTTAGAAAAAAATAAGATTAGCATATCTTACCTTTCACATATCTTGCAACAGCTTCTGTATTGTCTCTCTCTGGATCAATAGTGATGAAAAGTGGTTTTAAATTTGGCAGTGTTGGAATACTATCTGAAAGAAAGTTTTCATTAGTAGACATCAAAATCATTTGCCATCAGGCTAATTTTAATGGACAGACAGGACTTAGGAGCAATTATCATTCTAGCTTGGCTTTTAATCCTTGTCAACTACTTTTTACAAAAAGAAAGAACCTAAGAGCATAGTAAGAAGTAATTCTATTCCAGTTTATTATAAAAATGCTAATACTATTTCTGGTCATATCCCAGAAGGAATGACTCAGAGCTTCAGAAGTAGCATATCAACTTGGAGATTCTGAATTCTACTCCAGTACTTTTTATACTGCATCATATTCCTTTATAAAACATTTATTAAATATACACTACATGGAGGGTCATCTATTACATACAAAAATTTGTAAAGACATGGTTTCTTATTCTTTGATAATAACTCTGAGGTATATTTATGGTAAGTAGCAATTAATAATAGATATTGCTTCAGTGAAAATATAGCGTTTCCCTAAGCTCTTGCACTGGTGTTTGAAAATAGTGAAGATTACATGTGACATCTGTTCATATACATGTACATTTGAAAGGACTGGAGAGTTGGGCCACAGCAATGCAGCCAACTTCTGTGGCTCATTATAGCCAAGTAAAGAAAAAGACCAGAGAATAGAATGAGGGAGGAATTATAGTAAGAAACAGAAAAAAAAAATAAGACTGATCAAAGAGCCAAAAAAACAGAACCTTTTGTACCCATGCCTCTTTTTTTTTTTTTAAAGGCAATTGGGGTTAAGTGACTTGCCCAGGGTCACACAGCTAGTAAGTGTCAAGTGTTTGGTCTGTGGCCAGATTTGAACTCAGGTCCTCCTGACTTCAGGGCCAGTGCTCTATCCGTTGCACCACCTAGCTGCCCCTGCCCCAGCCCATGCCTCTTTTTAAGACTTTCTGTGCTAATATTAATTACAATTTCTTCCTCTAACAATTAATTATTAGATGTGTCCAACCATGTTTACTTTTCAAAAGCTTATTATACTGCTTCTCTTTGAACACTATTGTTTCATTCATCCTTTAATTACTTTTGATTACTTGATACTTGTGATTTCACTAGAGAGTATGGTGAGGAAATGCCTTAAAACCAATACAGATTAGCAAAATTGCTATTACTTAGTCTAAAGGCCCTTTATCTATGACACCTCTCTATAGTGTTTTCCTCGAGTCCTATTCCCTATAAATGTAGGTTGAATATATATCTTTTCTGCATTATTAAGCACTTTAAATTTTCGAAAATGGGAATTTATTCCTTTAGTATTTTCAAAGGCAAGTTTTTATTGTCTGAAGACATTTGGTTCACAAATTGTCACAGGCTATTATAAGTGATGGAATATTACTTCATAAATCAGTCTGTTCAACATCTAACAGTGTAAGCCTACTGTACTTAAAGGGTTTTCAGTAATTTATAATTTTTTGATACAAATACCAACTATATCAAGGATTTCTACTTAGGTTTTCAAGACGACAAACTTCAAATTTAAAAGTTCAATTTGGTTTCAGTTAGCCTAAAAACAAACTCAGATGAAGAAAACACCTTAGCCTAAAAGAACCATTCCCAGAATAGAATAAAATTAGTGCTGGGACATTTTTATATCCAGTATTTACTATAAGCAGCCCAGATTTAAGATAAATATTTAATATCTTGCTAACTTTTTTTTTTTACTAGTTAGAAAGGTTTGCAAGAGTAATATTGTTTTGTGATACTGAATGGCTGTGAGTTATGGAAAACCATAGTCTCTGAAGGCTTAAATTTGACGGTTATCTAAACAGCAATGCAGAGGCACATTGCTGGTATGAGTGGACTGCAACATATTATCAAACAAGAACTGGAGAGGAAAGCAAAATAAAGGATGTCATTATGGACAACTACTGTAAAAGGTACACCAGTCACATTGCAAGACTGAGCGAAAATAATTGGTAGTCCATGTACTTTGGTATTCACGCAATGAAGAAAACTAGAGAAATAACCCCAGTGTGCTGGGGGTTAGGGCAGGGCACCTAAGGAGAGAGTATCAACTTCTGTGAGACCACAGCCTAATCACAGGATTGAAATGAGAAAAAATTTAGTAATAAATTCTTTGGCCAAAACAACCCATAAATCAAAGAAAATACAAAACGACTCTCAGTTCCACATATCTCCTTTCTTCTAGAGCAGTGACAGTAGCAAAGCATCAAAAAAAAACCCCCACAAAAAAACAAACAAACAGGGGGGGACCAGAGGGTCTTTGCAACAGACTGTGCAGACTGTCTACAGAAATGAACTAAGTTGTATCTAGTCTTAAGTATGAGATTCTTGTCTAGTGAACAATGTGTGGACATATTACTGGGGGAAGAAAATCATATAAATCTTGGCATTCTTGCTAAAAAACCCCACTAGAATATATAAAAAAAAGTTACAACTGAATAGAATGATGATCTACAGTTTCTCTATGGAGAGGTAAATGAAGATAGAATTGGTTTTAAGATGTACTCAAAGACAACACAGAAACATCATTTTATGGGAATTTTGTTTATTTTGTATTGCACTGTTGTATGGCTTATGTGCTAATATCTATCGGAGAGGATGGAGACATAGAAAGATAAATTTTATAAAGAATTTGTTAAGACCTTCCAAATTAAATAAATTCTTCGTGGCATCAATGTAAAGATGGAATGGTGATAAAAACTTGGAAAATATGGTTCTGGAGTAAGAAAGAAGAGAGGTCAAAGCCCTGTAAAAAGTATGGAAGTTTCATGCCTATACTTCATGAATATCTTCTTTGAGAAATTGCTAGGCACTGGAGATGATGAAATGATATTTGGAATTGGTTTTATTTTTAAAAGAAGAAAATGATTTTTTACTAATATGAAAGTTAATTCTGAAATAGCTATCTTAGTCAAACCATTGACCTTTTGGAGCAAAGCTCAAATTCAATACCAAACTAGAAGAACCAAAAAAGAAACCCTGGCATCCAAGGAAGATAGCACCATCCTGATCTATGTAAACTAGCTGATGACTTTGAAAAATGAGAAAAAGACAAATGACTAGGAATCATCATGGACTATTATTAACTATGTATAAAGGAAGTTTGAAAAATAGGTTTTGCTAACATTTAAGTCAAAATTATAGGATTAACCACTTCCAATAATAACCCCCCAAATCATCTTTTGGTTTAGAGGCAGCTACATAGCTCAGTGGACAAGAGTGCCAGGCCTAGAGTCAGTAAGACCTGAGTTCAAATTCAGCCTCAGACACTTAACTGTGCGGCTCTGGGCAAATCATTTAACCCTGTTTGCCTTGGTTTCCTTATATATAAAATGAATTGGAAAAGGAAATGTCAAACTACTCCAGTATCGTTGCCAAAACCCCAAATGAAGTCATAAACAGTTGGACATGACTAAAATGAATGAACAAGAATAAATCAAATTTTACAAGGCTGAAAATGAACTTCCTTAATAGATTCACCAAAGCAACAGATTAATTTGATGCTTACAATGCTCCTATAGGACTAATTTAAATTCTTAATAAGATATTACAAAGCAGCAGTAAGAAATGTAATATGGGAAAATATAGGCTAGAAAATTATAGGTTTTATTCATATAGAGTGATCTCTTACCAATTTCATCCACTACAGCTATCATTTTTTCCAGTTCCTCCGGACATACATCAGGACAATGGGTGAAACCAAAGTAAATTAGTATCCATTGTCCCAAGTAGTCTTTATCAGTTTTGGGTTCTCCGTTGTGATCCATGAGTGAGAAAGGTCCTCCAAGTAAAGGCTTTCCTAAGGTTCGCTTCCGTTCCTTCTCTAACTCTAAAACAAAATATTAAACAATTAGTTTATTAATAGCTTATCACTTTGTCAACTGAGGAATTTTATTAATGGAAACAGAAATAATATATGATGTAGTTTCTGCCAGTAATAATCATGAAACAAGGTGACAGAATAAAAAAATGAATCCTAAATCATTTAACATAAATTAGGCTTTATAACTTAATTGATTTAAAAACTGGAAAATTGTATCCAATTCAACAAACATTTATGGCACTACTAACTCAAAGACAAAATGATAGATGTGTACAATTTACTGAGGGGAAACAACATGTACATAGATATATAAGTACCAAATATGTAAAAAAAAAAGTAAGTTGAGGGGTCATGCTAATAAGGAAAGTTCACATAGAAGAGATAACACTTGAACTCAGACTTAGAGAGAGCCAGGAGTTCCAAGAGGTAAAGGTGGGGAAGGAGAACATTTCCAGGCAAGAGGGACAGTCTTCCTTCAAAGGCATGGGTGTGGTTTATAGACTATCACTGAAAAAAACAAGTAGGCCAGTTTGGCTGGAGAACTGATTATGTGAAGACAGGAATGTGAAATCATTCTAGAAAGATAGGTTGGAGCTAGATTGTGAAAGACTTTAAATGCCAAACAGAAGTTTATACTTTATTTAGAAGAAAAGGAGGAACCAAACTGAAGATTCCTGAGCAGGCAAATAAGACCTGCACTGTAGGAGTATCAATCTGGCAGCTTTATGGAAGATGGATTAAAATAGGAAACGATTAAAGGCAAGAAGACTAATTAGGATGATACTGCAACATTCCAGATGAGAGGCAATAAAGCCCTGAATTAGAGTAGTAGTTGTGAAATTGGAGAAAGGAATGGATGTAAGAGACACTATGGAGATAGAATTGACAAAGCTTGTCAACCAATGGGATATGAGAGTGAAGAAGTGCAGATGATTTAAGGTAGCAAACCTGAGACCAGAAGGATGGTGGTATCCTTAACAGAAATAGGGAAGTCAGGAATAAGCATCAGTTTAGGGAGAAAATTAGTTCTATTATGGACATGCTAAATTTGAGATGCCTATGGGATATCCAGGTAAAGAGAACTGAGGGCCAGGCATACAAATTTTAGTCATCAGCAAAGAAATTAAACAGGACACCAAGAAAACCAAAGATATTACGAAGAAGGAGAGAAGGCTATCCCCAACAGAGCCCCAGAGTTTACTCAGCACAGTCTAAAATGGAACAATCAGATAGGTAGGAGAATCAGAAGAAAAAAATTATCACAAAAATCCAGGGAGAAGAAAGAATCCAGAAGAGGACAGTAAACAGTAGAAAACACTGCAGAAGTCAAGGATTGAGAAAAGGATGTTGAATTTAGCAATTAAGATACTGTTGGTAATTTGGAAATTTCAGTTTCAGTTGAGCGGTGGAATAAGAAGCTAGCTAGAGGGATAATGAGAAAGTAAACTAATAAGTATAGATGACTTTTCTAGAAGTTTAGTAAGGAAAAGGATGAGTAATATAGGATGATAGCCTTAAGGAATGGTAGGACCAAGTGAAGGCTGGTTACAGACAGGGCAAGTTTTTTCAATGAACAAAGAAGGAGCTAGTAGATAAAGAAAAATAGAAGACTATAAAGAGACTGGGGATGATACAAGGAATCAACTCGCAGAGTGAAAAGGAGGGGATGGGAACAAAAGCATGAATAAAGGAGTTGACCCTGGCAAGAAGGGTGAAGCAAAAGAAGAGGAAATGAAGGATAATTTCAATGTATGTAATAGGTAAGAAGAAGCTCACAATGAGTGGCTTTGATTTTCATGTTGAATTATCATGGCAAAGTATCCTGTCTGAGGAGAGGGCAGGGACTGGTATAGATGGCATAAAGGGAAAAGAGGTTTGGCACAGACTGTAAGGAGTGTAAGTAACCAAGGGCTTGAACTAACATTCTCATTTCCGGATTAATAAACTAACAAAGTTATAATAGCCTGGAATGAGTCCCCAAACAGACTTAGGCAACATCTCAAAATGCTACAAGGTACTAAAACAAATATAAAGAATGGAAATATAAATCTCTGAGGAACAAGTTCTAAACATCCCTGCTAGCACAGTTATAAAATGCTCTGTTCAAAGGCCATCAGGGGATATGTACATACTCTCTGCCTTTTCTTTCTTGAAGTACTTCATTCCAGCCAATAAAGCTCCACCAACAGCAAATGTGAATGCCAAGGACTTCCAGGAAACAGGCTACTAGGACAGAAATTTCAACAGTAAAAATAATAGTAGGATGCAATTATGTAATCCTACTGATTTTACCATAATAAAACTAGAGTGAGTACAAGTGGAATAAAATCTATATTGATACAATTATACATAAGTCCCAATAACCAACCCAGCTAACTTAATCATACACAAGTCTCCATTTACACTTGATGAAATGGAAAGGAATACTCATACAGAATCACATACTGTACCCTGATAAAAGCAAAAATAAACTTGAACATGTTAATCACAGAACCTTAAGGAGTAGTAAAAATGATACAAGACAGCTCCACTTCTAAGTGCTACTACTTCTTATTTCGAGTGATTGCCAATTTGTGGCATACTTATTTCTCTTTCAAGAAATAGGCCTTGCCTGTGTGTATTTGCTAAGGTTATCTGAGGTTTTAAAATAAAATCCTTAAGATTAGAAGTAGTATAAATTGTAGGAAAAACTATGAGTCTTGAGTTCTTCCTAGATAAAGACTATGGTTTCTTCCTAGGAACATGAAACATTGTTTTGGCCTAAAAGATATTTAATTCTCCTATAAAAGATAGTGGCTTTATGAAAATGCTATATATGGAAAGAGAACCAGATATGAGGTCAGAAGACACAGGTTTGAACCAAGTTTGTGCAAAGGTATTACCATCTAATTTGTTTGGGTATGATTTCAGCTATCTTACAGTTCAGAAGATGTTAGAATTGGAAAGGACCTTAGCAATCATCAAGTCAAAGCCTCTCATTTTTAAGAAAAAGCAAATAAAGGCAGAGAGCAGCTCATTTAAGTGGCCTGCCCAAGGTCAACCAGCTTTTCAAATCCTATGCAGAAGTTTCTTAACTTCTGGGTCTTTTCCCTACTCTATAAAATGGTGACAGCACTACCTATCATAGGTAACCATATAATATACTCTGCAAATACAAGGGATTATATGAATTCGAGGTGTATGGTTCAAAAAACAAAACCCTATTATTAGTCTAAGATTAGAGATAGCATGGACTAGTAAATAGAAAGTCAATCTTGGAGTTAGAAAGAGCTGGGTTCAAGTCCTAACTTTGACACATAGGCGGGGTGACACTAAGCAAGCCACTTAACCTCCCAGAACAGCTGCTGATCTGCACTGATGGAAGGAATGTCCTACAACAGTGAAATCACAGGCCTTAACCAACAGGAAAAAAAAAGTCTAAAGTGCATGTTACTCTATGGGATTATAAAGAAGAAACTTTGTAAACCTTAAGGTACTATAAACAAGTAACATATTATTAAGTCAGTCAAAAAACATTCCTAAGAGCTGGGGATGCAAAGAAAGGCAAAGGACAGTCACTGTTCTTTCAGGAGCTCACAGTCGAACAGGCGAGCCAATTATGTACAAACAAGACACACAAGATAAATTGGAAATAATCAACAGAGAGAGGGCACTAGCATTAAGTGGAGGTCGGGGGTGGTCAGGAAAAGGTTGCTGAAGGTGGGATTTTAGCTTGGGCTTGAAGAAAGCAAGGAAAGGCAGACGCGAAGATGAGGAGCAAGAGAATTCCAGGCATGGGCGGTGGCGGGGCAGCCAATGAAAATCCTCAGTCAGAAAATGGAGCGTCTGGTTCGAGGTCCAGCCAGGAGCCCAATGTCACTGGACTGAAGGGAGGGTCTTTGAACACCAAACTTAGAATTTTAATTTTTTTTTGCTCCTGGAGGTGATTATTAGTAATGATAGTAATGACAAATGACAAGCTGAACTGCCTTCTCTCTGGGATTCATGACTTCGGTGGGGGTAAAAGTTGATGCAGGCAGCTAGGTGGCTCCAAGCCTGGAGTCAGAAAGACTCATCTTCCATTTAAATCTGACCTCAGACACTACCTGTGTGAGCCTGGGTAAATCACTTAACCCAGTTTCATCTGTAAAATGAGCAGGTAAAGGAAATGGCAAACTACAGTACAGGTTCCGGACAGGCGTGGCTTAGAGAAATGGGGGGGGGGAAGAGAACGAGGAAGCTGGGCAGATCCCTCGGGACACCTGAGACTGGGCCCTGGACGCAGGCTTACTTACCCCCGATGCGCGGGAGCCACTCTGGCCCCTGGTTCCTCGCGGCAGCGGCCCCGCAGTGGAGAAGGGCCGGCTCCCGCAGAGTCCATTCGCAACACCCGCTGACTGCCAAAGAGACAGAGGCCGCAGCGCCAGCTTCTCCCTGGCCCGGCCCGGCCCCGGGGGCGACCTTCTTCCTGCACCAACGAGCCCCGGGAGGTCTCTCTCGCTCCCCAGAGCCGGCCTTCGGCACCACAGTTCTAGCAACGAAGGCCGCCCAGGGAGTCCCCGAGGGGCCACAAGGCCCCTGCAGGGGGACCACAGCGCCAACAGGGAGCTCGTCATTGGCTGATGGGAGAGCACACCCGCGGCGAGCACCCCCGGAAGCTTTAACTTCCGGCTGAAAGAAAAAGGCATTGAGGGGTCACTCTCGCCTGCTCGGTGCCGCACTCGATGATTCCGCCGGAAATGAGACTCGCCTTCCGGGTCATTTGGGGATGCGCAGGTCTCGGAGGCAGGAAGCGGTAAGTTAAAGCGTGTAGGCGTGCTTGGGCAGGAGGTGGTTCTTTCCTTAGTGTCTGTGGCTTCTGCTTCCCCTTCCCAATCTCCCTGTGAATCAGGCGAATCGCTGAAAGGTGCAAGGATAGGTGGAAAGAGGGAGAAAGAGGAGGCTGAGGCGGCTCCTTGGGAACCGCCGGAACGCCGGATGGAGCGAGAAAGGTCGGGAGATGTGTCAGGGGAGACAGGACCCCGTCAGCCCTTCTGGCCCGCGGTTGAGGTGGTTTTGGAGGCCAGACCCTTCTCGAGAGCCGCGCCAATGGATCTTTGCGACCCCAGTCGTGTATAGACATTGTGCTATCCTCTGGGACTGCTTATCCACTAGGACGTTCAGCTGTCAGTGCAGATAAGTGGTAGAAAGAACACCTGATTTGGAATTAGAAAAGTTGATTTCAGGTCTCTTAAGTCCTTTTGGGCTTCCGTCTTCCTTATCTGTAAAATGAAGGAATTGGATGATTTGTAAGGTTGTCTCCAGTTATGATTGTTTTGCCCTTCTCTGAACGTCATTTGGCTCTGTAAAATTAGGGAATTAGACTAAGATGATTTATTTTTTCAACAACTACTTTTAAAACTCCCTAAATGTGTGTGGAGTTCCGTCCTAGGCACTTGGGAGAGAAAGGGCTTTCCTGTTACAGTTTAAGATAGATTGCTTTCCTTAGCCAACTGTGTAGGTGTAGGACTGATGTTTTAGAAGTTTTTGCAGTGATAAAAATGTTGGGCACTTTTATACCATAAGACAGTATAACAAGAATGTCATAAAAGAATAATAAAAGTGCTTCAGAGTGTTAGAGAATGCAGTTATTTCACCTCTTTGGGTTTCAGTTACATCCACGATAAAACAAAGTAGTTGGACTAGATCCTTAAGTGATTCCCAATCGTTTATTAAGCACCTGTTATTTTCAAAACGTAGTATGGGGGGGAGAGGAAGGATAAGGAATATTAAGAAGGCCTCCTGCCTTCCCAAAGCTTTATTTCCAAACTTCTAGACCTACAGTTACTACAAGAAAAAAACAAAACAAAAAAAGTCTGTAGACTGTTTATATAAATGTAACCTTCTGTATTCCTTCTATAGCCTTCTGTTTGAGAAAAATCATTGGAGGGGGTAGTAAATTGGCTTCATAGTTTGTAATTTAGATATTGGAAAATTAACAAGATTTCCACTGAGGTGAAGAGGAGTGGAGGTATGAATTTGAAGGCATAAGAATCTGAAGCATTCTCTTCTGGCATGAGCATCAGAAGGAGAGAATAACCTATTTTGTTTGAAGATTAGTTAGATGAAGGAAGGTCTTAGCCTACATTCTATTAGATTTCAAGCTGTCTTTTACTGTTCTTTGTATCCCCTGCACTTATCACAGTGCTCTGGCACATTGTAGGCACTGAATAAATGTTTACTTCCCTCATAGAATCACATACACAATTTCAGAGTTTAGAAAGAACTCTCGAATTCAAAACTCTTCACAACTCTAACCTTCTAGCCTTATTATATATTATTCATCTTTGTCAATGCACTTTATCATCCAGCCAAACTAGCCTTCTTACTTGTTCCTCATACACAATATCCCATTCACCCTGGTCCATGTTTTCGCAGTTGAATTGGTCTGTCTCTCCTTGTCTGGAATGTACTCACTCCTCTCCTCTTAGAACCTCTAGTTTGCTTCAGTATTTGGCTCAAGCTCCACCTTCTACATGAGGCCTTTGTTGATCCCTCTCACCTGCTAAGTCCTCTCCATATCAAAAATTACCTTGTATCTTTTGTATATTTCTATGTAAGTATATGATTAGTCTCCATCAATATAATGTAAACCCAAGTAAAGGGAGTATTCATTTTTTCTTTGTATCCTCAGTACCTAGCACTCCCTTTCTGTTCACACACATTTTCCAATGTTAGCAAAATTCCTTGAGGCAAGAATAGATAGATTTTTAAATTTAACCCATTACAGGCCAGCTGAACTCTGAACTAAGTTCAGAGACAAAGAACCATGACTTAAGCAATTACAGGGAGAAATCAATTACTGGTAAATAGGGTTAATAAGGAAATGATACATGATCAGTTTTAATCTTCTGATAGGTGCAGTGAAAGTATAATGGCCTTTTCCCAAATGAAAGCAAATTGTTTCTGTCTAACATCAGCCATGACTATAGACCAAAGCACTGGTAAGATCAAAAACTCTACCTCACACCCCTGGGCCTGGGCTGTGACATTGACACGGTCAAGAACAGCTGTAGTGATGGGCATGGCTACTTCAGTGACCTCTAGCTGTAAGTTGCCAGGTGCCAATACAGGTTTGTTTTAAGGGAAAATGGTATAACAAAGTATTATAGCTTCCTTCATTTCCATTAGTAGAGAAGAAATATCTTGTACACACTTGAAGAGTCAGTATTGTATGGTGTTACTACACTGGATAGTTTGGGCAACTCCAAGGTTTTACATGTTGCCCTATTCACAATACTGTATGTAGGGGTTGTGAAAAGGGCTTCTGACTCCCAGAAGCTTTTGATATCCCTTCCCTGTATGGTCTGTCCTTTGTAACCTCCTCTGAATGAACCTCCTCTCCTGGTCTGGTGCTGAATTTCCCTATATAGTTTTACTAGGTTACCGCCCCCACCCCCAACCATAAGCTAGCCATCTACTGCTTTCTTATCAACTTCTTGTTTTAGGAGTCACACCCAAGGTTCCCCAAAGGAGAGGGTATCATTGCCCTCTACCCATTTGGTTGGGTAGGACCTCTTAGAACATGTGTTTGCACTTACAGCTATATTTGTCCTCAGAGCCACTGTTGTCTTGATCTGTTGAACTTCCCACACCTAGGGAGAAAGACCCCTTGCTAAAGACTGACACCAGTTAGTCAACAAACACTTGTTAAATGCTTACCATGGGCCAAACTATGTGCTTAGTGCTGGGAATACAAATACAAGCAAAGAGAAAGATGGTCCCTGTCTTCAAGGAGCATTCTAATGGAGGAAGGCAACACATAAAAAGATGCTGAAAAGGTGAGGGAGTAGACAGGAAGTTATGCAGTATGCAGAGGCATGATGGATATCTGGATTGAAGCCTGGTGAGAAATGAAGAGATGGCTGACTGAAATGCTTTCCATATGTGGAGGTTCTAGGAGGAGCCACTCAGTCAGAGAGAGAGAGAGAGAGAGATGACGGAGTTAGAGGGTACTTTTAAGGGATGGATTCTAAGGCTGAAGTGAACTTCCAGGATAAAGAGGTTTCTGGGGCATGGTAGAAAAGTCCAGCCTGCATCCTGATGAGAAATGATCATTCAAGTGGGGCTTTAGTCTAGTCATAAGGTCTAGCAGGCTGTATGTAGGAATAGTGAATGTGCATACATATATATACATATATATATGTAAATATATATATATATACACACACACATACATATATATATATATATATATATATATATATATATATATATATATCCAGTCTCTCAAACCTATTCCTTTTTTCAGGTTCACCTCCCTTGCAGTTCCCCATCAGGGGTTCTGGCTGCAACAGGAATTCATCTTTAGGGAACTAGGTATGAGTAACACCTCATCTCAAGTTTCTTCAAAAAGGGACAAAGAGCAGTCTTTATCAGAGCCTTTAGTGGATTTGGCTGACTCTGTAAAAGTAAGTCCCCAGAGGACTTCTAAAGCCTATGGAGCTCTGCTGTGGAGAGAATTCTCTTTTAATTCCATTAGGCCAGACCCTCAGGTGGCACTGCTCCAGTGTCTCAGGTTGCTCTTTTAAATTTCTTTTTTGATTTCTGTCATTTCTTGTGGAGAAAACTGGCTCATTGCTTTTCCCTCAGTGGAGGAAATCACATTCCAGGTAGAAACCTGGGGCTTTCTTATCACCAGTGAGAGTTCCCAAGTCTTTCCTCACTTCTCTCATTCTCATGTGTTATGGCTCTGTTCCCTCCATTCCCAGGCTAAAGGAGTTCTGGTTGCAGTCTTTGAATCTGCACCCCCATCAACAGAGCTTCCTTTACTTGGTCCATCACCAGCTCCATCACCAGCTTGCCCTTCTGCTTTCTTCATATGGCCCTTAAAACCGAATAGCTCTCTAGCTGTTAAATGTGTTGGACCATTTACTTTCCATCTTATATTGACAGTCCAACTTACATAGGATGGTCAGCAACAACCAGAGAATGCTGGACCTGATGTTACTTTACCCTTCTTTTAACACCTCCTCTCCTGTCTTCCTCCCCCTTCCCCCTAAGCTAATTGTTTTGCCTGCTCAGGGATCTCCTGCTTCCTGTTCCATTGAGGGGACTCTCCTTACACCACCTTTGCTGGGCCCAGGTGCTGTAAACAGCCATCTGATTACCCTATCCTTTTTATTTGCATCCCCCTTTCTCCACTTATCCATGGCCACAAGGCCATTATCAGTCTAATTACTGACTATGCCAGATGTTAAGAGGAAGGCCTGACTCAGACTGGCATTATGATTTGATGTCAGGATTAAGTGAGGCACTCTTAGATAATTCAGTTGTTGACAAAAAGGTTTACTTTTTTATAAGAACATAGAAAAAGAATCAACAAAGATACTCTCGTACATAGAAACTTACACACACACACATCTCCATATGGAAATGCATCTACTTAACAGAATTGGATGTGGTGACTTTTATAGTCTTAGGATATCCATCAAGCTGAAGGGCCTGGACCCCTTGTGGGTGGCCCTTTTTATACTCTCAGGTGACTGAAGACATGCCAATACAGCTACAGTTTTATCACTCTGAAACAGTAGACTTAAAGCTTGTATGTCCCCAGCCTGTCTCTGAGATCCTGAAATAAAACATTCAGTAGCCCCCAAAAAGAAACAACAGGACCAGCTTAAGCCTTCTCTCTAGAAGTGCAGAGGAGACCAACCCTAACATCAAGTCTGAGGTCAGGAAGTAGAGTAGAAGAATGAGCAAACAAAAGAATCCCACCATAGAGAGATAAAGGGATGCTCAAGATACAAACTCAAGCAATCAATGAATAAACATTTATTAAGCCTCTACTGTGTGCCAGGCACTATGCTAAATGCTAGGGATACAAAAAGAGTTGTAAAAGACAGTTCCTGGCCTCAAGGAGCTTACCATCTAAGGAGGGAAACGATATGCAAACATATATACAAAACAAATGATATACAGGATAAACAGGAAATAATTAACAGAGGGAAGGCATTAGAATTAAGATGGGTTGGAGAAGGTTTCTTGTAGAAGGTGTGATTTTAGTTAAGACTTAAAGGAAGCAAGGGAAGTCAGTAGAAGTAGAGTGAAGGAAAGAAAGCATTACAAGCATAAGGCACAGAGAAAATGCTCAAAGCTAAGATGGAGTGTTTTGCTTGTGGGACAGCCAGGAGGCCAGTGTCACTGGATTGAAGCAAGGCACAGAGTAAGGTGTAAGAAGACTAGAAACGTAGGAGGGGGCTAGGTTTTGAAGGGCTTTGAATGCCAGGCAGAGCATTTTGTATTTGCTCTTGGAGGCAATAGGAAGCCACTAGATTAAGGAGGGGACGGGGAGGTGACATGATCAGACCTGTGCTTTAGGAAAATCACTTTAGTGGCTGAGTGGAGAGTAGATTGGAAAAGGGAGATACTTGAGAAAGGTAGACTCACCCGGTATCTATTGTAACAGTCCTGGCATGAGGTGATAAGGACCTGCACTAGAGTGGCGGCAGTGTCAGAGGACAGAAGAGGAGATGCTGCAAAGGTGAAATTGTCAAGGGGTAGCTAGATGGTGCAGTGGATAGAGCACTGGTCCTGAAGTCAGGAGGACCTGAGTTCAAATTTGGCCTCAGACCAAACACTTGATACTTACTAGCTGTGTGACCCAGGTCAAGTCACTTAACCCCAATTGCCTAAAAAAAAAAAAAGGTGAAATTGTCAAGCCTTGGCAATATTTTGGTGAAAGATAGTGAGGAATCTGGGATGACTCCTAAATTGTGAGTCTGTGGAGTTGCGATGATGGTATTGCAATACCACAGTACTAGGTACTGTGTAATAGTACAGTAATAGGAAAGGTGTGGGGATTGGGAAGTGAGAGGTTAGGGGGAAAGATCATGAGTTTTGTTTTGGACATAGTGAGTTTCAGATGTCTACTGGACATCCAGTTTGAGATATCTGAAAGCAAATGCAGGACTGGAGATCAGCAGAGAGATTAGGATAGGTAGATTTGTGAATCATCATTAAATCCATGGGAGCTGATGAGATCACCAAGTGAAGTAGTATAGAGGGGAGAAGGGAAGAGGGCCCAGGACAGAACCTAAGGACATTTACGGTTAGAGGGCATGCTCTGGAGGAAGAACTAGCAAAGGAAACAGGAGTGGTCAGAAAGGTAGGAGGAAAACTAAGAGAGTGTAAAAACCTAGAGAGAAGGTAGTAGCAAGGAAGGGAGAGTGACAAGGACAATAGGGATTGAAAAACCATTGATTTGGCAGCAAAGAGATGATATATCTATCTGTAATTTTGGAGAGAGCAGTTTTGGTGGAATGATAAAGTCAAAAGCTACATTTTAAGGGGTTAAGAAGAGACTGAGAGGAGAAGTGGAAGCACCTATTATATATAGATGGCCTTTTCGATGAGTTTAGCTACTAAGAGCAGAAAGGATATAGGATGATAGCAAAGACAGATCAAGTGAGAAGGTTTTTTCAGGATAGGGAAAACATGGACATATTTGTAAGCAGTAGGAAATGAGCCAGTAGAGAGGGAGAGATTGAAAATAAGTGAAAGAGCAAAGATGGTAGAGGGTCTGTTGAAGATGTGATGGAATAGAATTCCTTGAACAAGTGGAGGAATTAGTTAGCCTGGGTAAGGAATAGGGCAACCTCTTACTGTGAGAGGTGAAAGAGGAGATACGGCAGAAGACATATGAATGATCTGTACTGAGGAAGAGGGGGCCAGAGGAAGTTCATGGCAAATGGCCTCAGTTTTTTTGTGTAAAACATGAAGCAAGATTCTCAGCTGAAAGAATCAGGGAAGGGGGTGCCAAGGGAGATTTGAATAGGGATGAAAAGACTTGTAAGACCCATTGTCAAGAGTGGGATAGTGAGTTGATAGGGGATGTATGGTATGATTGTCTGTCAGCAGTAAGGTTGTCTACAACAATTGAGATTATGTAATGTAAATTTGTATTGGATCCAATCAGAACAGTTGCATGATTTTCTTCACCTTTGTTTAGCAGCATGTGTATAGAAGTGAAGACAACAGATGATGGGAGTGATCTAAGGCTGAGATTTGGCTGAGTGTAATCAGTGATATGATAAATTTGGAGCTAATATTGGTAGATAGTTTGAGGTATTGGTCTTTACCTTGTTTCTGCCAGAATACTTTTCAATTTTCCCAACAGTTAATAACAAAAATAGTTGTTTTTGTTTTTTAATAGTGAGTTTTTATCTCAATAAATAAGGTTATCAAACACTAGGCAACTGTGTTTCTATCTTTATATTGTGTACCTAACGTGTTCCATTAATCAACCTATTTCTTACTTAGTACCAAACAATAATTACTACCTTGTAGTATAGTCTGAAATGTGGTACTTCTTGAGCCCATTCCTTCCCACCTTTAGTAATCTTTTGGTGGTTTGATTAGTATGACACTGAGTAAGTAAATTAATTTGGATACTATTGTCATATTAGCTCATTCTACAAATAATAAATTAATATTTCTCCAATATTTAGATCTATCTTTAGTTGTATAAAGAGTGTTTTGCATTTGTATAGTTACTATCTATGTTTGAGTAAGCAGATTCCTGAGAATTTCTGTATTTAAAAAGAATTTCTCTTTATGTCATTTCCTGCTGGATCATGTTGCTAACATACAGAAATACTGATGATTTATGTGGGTTTATTTCATGTCCTACAGCTTAGCCAAAGTTAAAGTTTCATTTTTTTTTCTCTAAATCATCATATAGTTTGCAAAAAGTGGTCTTTTTGTTTCCTCTTTGCCTATTTTTGGCTTTAGACAGCTGCTTCTTATATTAATAAAATAACTGTTTATCCCTGTGTTGTCTAATAAATGTTGTCTAATAATGCCATTTCCAGAGGCATCACCAGAAACATGGAGGACACAATGAGCTCACCTTCCTCTGCATCTCGTCCAATCCCCGCAGTTCAAGGAGATCATTTCATTCCCAAATGCTGGCCATGTCAGTTACGGTAGGCCACATATGACCAGGTCAATATGGTGGCTCAGCTGAGGTTGATTTCTTTTGTTCTGATCTAATAGCAAAAGGTTTACTTAACACTGGCAGGGGAATGATATCAAGATTAGAGATGACCCAGTTGAATACAGGTTTCCTGGTTTTGGTCATCTTTATGTCTAAAGCCTCAGGTATCTGCTGGAGCAGATGTTCATGACTTTTGTGTCCTCAGGCAATGAAGAAACTGCATCAACCACCAATGCTAGCCTAAATATCTTAAATAAAATCTCGAGCACAGTTTTTGTATCTTTTAAGAAAAAATTAGCCTAATCAGGACATTGCTCCCACTATACCATTGTAATACACTGGCTGTCCATTGGTTGTTCCTCTCTTTGTAACTGGATCTTTTTTTTTTTTTTTGGTCATACATTTCTTTGAAAGAGTCTTTATATACCAGATATAAAATGAGGAACATAGTAGTTGCAGCCCTCCAAAATCTTAACCTCAGACCAACTTCCCATACCACTGAATTGACTTCAGGCACCTATAGTAATGTTATCATAATCTGCAAAACCACTGTGGAAAAACTTCAAATAAAATATAGTTTTGTTGCAACTTTAAAAAAGATATTTACATCACTGTTACATCACAATAATCCATCTTTTCCCACAAAATCTTGTAACAAAGAAGTATAGTAAAGCAAAACAGATCAACATCCTTGCCATTCCTGACACTTCCTGACTCATTCCTCACCAACAGCCCACTGTGCCTCAGCTGAAAGGAGAGAGAGGTGTGTTTCACTGTCATTCCTCTAGTTAGCATTAGTCATTGTATTTACCAGAATGCTGAGGTTTTTCAGTGTTGTTTTTCTTTACATTATTGTGGTCATTGTGCATATTGCTTCCCTGACTTTGTTCTCTGTCAGTGAATATAGGTTCTCACAAGTTTCTCTGATTTCTTGTATTGATTCACATCTTTTTCTTGTAGTGATAGACTACTCCATTATATTCATGTATCATAAGTTTGTCCAGCCATTGCGCCATGGATGGACACCCACTTTGGTACCGGTTTTTGCTACTACAAAAAAATCACAGCTAAAACTGATTAATGGAATAATTAATTCTATCAAATTGTCACAATATTTGAAAGCATATTACATATTTCTATTGGATTGGAGACAATACATTTTACATAATTACAACTTTAAAATAGCATGAATTTGATTGAACTCATGCAACCTACTATAAATATTTTTGTACACATGGACAAATCTTTCAGTTTGACTTCTTTGGTAGTATAGCTCTGGTAGTAGAATCTTTGGGTCCTGGCATATAATTATATGTGTGTGTGTGTACATACATAGCGCACACACACACAAATACACACACATACACACACACACGCACACTCTTTAGTAACTTTTCTAGTATAGACCCAAATTGTTTCCAGTGTAGCAATATATCAGTGTGCCTATCAATTTATTTGAGCAAAAATTTATTGTTTATTGTGTGCCAGGTAGTGTGATATGTGATAGTGAAGATACAAAGACAAAAACAAAACAGTCTCTGCTTTTTATTAAATTTAACTTATTATGGTTAGGGTGGGAGGGAGAGAGAAGATATCAATATACACAGAAGGGTGAGTAAACACAAAATAATTTTCTGGGAGTGGGAAAAACATTGACAGTTTTTCTTGGGGGCCAGATCAGGAAGGGAAGCAGGTAGTATAATACTGAAAAGAGTAAAAACAGACTGGCATTGAAAGACTTCATAACCTGGCCTAGAGTCAGAGGACACATGTTTAAATTCTGCCTCTGTAATCTTGTGCAAATCATTTATCTCCCTGGGCTTCTGTTTACTCATATGTAAAATAAAGGCATTGGAGTAAGTTGCTTCTGGAAGGCCTTCCAGTTCAAAAATCTGTGATTCATCGAGGAAGGGTGTTATAAATTTGAGATAGTATGTGAGGTGATCCTTGAAGGGAGCTAAGGATTACTAGAGGCTGATGTAATGAAAAGCATTCCATACATGGAGGTCAATTTGTGTAAGGACCCAGAAATGTAAGCTAATTTACCAGACTGTCAGAAGAAAAGAAAGAATAAAAGTATTCTGCTATTGTAGTAAATAGGGATAAATGGGGACAAGGATAGGGACAGGACCTGTGATTTCATTGGTATAGGGGAGACCATCTCAGTGAGGAATTCCCCCTACAAGTGCAGATTGGCAGCTTCTCTGAAAGTTATTGTTTTAGTGAAATGCCCACAGCATTTGAGGTGATAAGAGACTTGCCCACGGTCACATAGCCAGAATGTGTCAGAGTTAGTAATTGAACCCAGGTCCTCCTGGTTCTTTCTGCTGACATCTTTGGAGTGAATACCACATCAATTACTACCATAACATATGTACCTTCTAAGAAAGTAGGAACTAGATAAAGGTCCAAACTCCTTTTAACTAGGTATACCAAGATCTAACTCTTTTTCTTTTTGGTATCTGGCTATGTGTGAATGTCGGTGTGTTCATACTCAGGTATTACTGTCAAGGAAGGGTGTTGAGTGAATGATCGTTAGCTGATGTTACACAAGTAGGAAGCTTTACCTTACCCGTAGCCATTTGTTGCTCTCACTGGGAGGGGATGGCCATAATAACTGACTCATCTATCAGTCAGTCAGCAAACATTATTGAATGCATAGTATATACCAGGCACTGTGTTAAGCACTGGGAGTCCAAATAGAACTAAAAACAGTTTCTGTCCTCAAGGAACTTACGTTCTAATTTGGAAAGACAGCAGACAAGTAAGTACATTCAAGATATAGGTAGAATAGTTAGAAGATAATTTCTAAGGGGAAAGTACTAGCCACTGGTAATGGCATCCTGGGAATTTGAGATTTAACCTCAGTCTTGAAGGAAGACTGGGAAGCTAAAGTGTGGAGGTCATTGGACAGACCATTTCAGACAAGGGAAAAAGCCAGCACAAAGTCATGGAGATGGGAGATAGAGAGTGGGATTGGAGAAACAGCAAGTGGGTCATTGTAGCTGGATCATAGTGTACATAGAGGGAAGGCTGGAAAGGAAGGAAAGGGCCAGGTTATGAATAGCTTTCAATGCCAAATAGTTTATAATTGATCCTAGAAGGAATAGGTACCCACTGGAACTGATTAAATAGGCTTCATGATGTTTTTAGTACAAATGCCAGGCATTGTCAACTCCAGGTATAAGATCATGGATCTCCCAAAACACAAAAATTATGCAGATTAAACATTCACCACATCATTTCCCTTAAATCCTTACTTTTTTCCTAGTTTCTGTTCCTTATAGAAGGTTGCAAATCAAATGAACAAGAAGACATGTATGAGATAATTGATGAATACTTAACATAATGTCTCTACTCCCATCCCTCTATTTCATGTTACTTCTTTTCCAAGGGAAAGCAGTCTTCACTGATCATTAGTCTGGTAAGTAAAAGAGATTCAGGAATGCTTCAGTTTGCACCAAGAACCAGTTATTGCCAGGAGCTTTGAAAAAAAAATCCCCCTGTGACAATGTTTGCTGGAATTGCTAGTTTATCGTATTCACCAAAAGGGATATTTGGTTTGCAAATAAAGCAAGACAAAAATCAAAACATCTATTCAGTTAAGATTTTTATGAAAAAATTACATACCAATTTAGAGCAGTTAACATTTTTTTAATCTTCACTTTAGTCTCAAGAGCAATTACATCTTCCTTATAGTTTTTCTGCCTTCATAGGTAGAAAGGGTTTTGAAATCAGAGGAGCTGGGTTCAGATGCCATCTCTGACACTTATGTACTATGTTAACTTGCACATATCACTTAACCTCCTTGGGCCTCAATTTCCTCATCTCTAAAATGAAGAAGTTGGAATAAATGTCTTATGATCTGTCCCTTTCAGATCTAGAGCTATAGTCCTAAAATGATCACCATTCAAGATTCCTGCTGATTTGCTCTATGAGATAAAATTTCAGGAAGATATATAAAAAGACTACCTGCTCTGTATTCATTGCTGATGCCACCTGAATGATTCAAAAAGTTCTCTTTAAGCTATATACCCTTAAGAATGCTGTTTCACTTGGTTTTCCTCAACAGCCTTCCTCTGAGAAATGACATAAATTATTGTATACTCAACCACTTGCTTAGTATGCTAGAAATGACTGCAGTGTGACAAATCGGAGTTAAAACTTTATATAGTTAGGAAAAATTTAGGTATAGTTGTGAAATAGAAGTTTGTCTAGATTAATCGATAAGTTTGGGTTCTCTCAATATCTATGATTCACATGGCAGTCAACCTAGAGGACTATTTTTTATTCTGTTCTAGTCTTTGAGGATCAAGGTGCTTTTGATACCAGGCACAGCCCCTAGCTTCAGCCAAATTCCTTGCTCCTCTGTCTTCCCTGGTTTCCTTTCTCAGAAGTCTCTTTCCTTAGGCATCTAGCCAGCATCATCTTGCCCAGTACATTTTACATAGTAAATGCTCCATAAATGTTTGTTGAATTGAAATATCACCTTCCTTAAATCATTATAGCTATCTCCTGCTTTGATTAATTGGGACCCAGGTTTTCTGTCTCATTTCTGTTCATCTTATTATAATAATTCTCTTTTTTCCAAACTTTGCCTACATTCAGTTTATCCACTTTCCATTCTTCCTTGCCCCCTGGTTATCTATAGAGTCAGCATGGAGAAATGGAAGGGGTACTGGACTTGGCAACAGGAGGGAGATACCCACATTTGAAGCCCATCGCTGATGTTCTAGCTATGAACCTGTTTCTTCATCCATAAAAGTGGGTAATAGCTATAGTACTTATATCATAGGGTAGTTGTGAAGATCAGTCTTTAGGTATAGGTCGGCTATAATTATTGAGAAGCAGTTTGATGGTGCCAGGAGTGAGTTGGACTTGGAATCAGAAAGATTGGGGTTCAGTTCATTTAATCTCTTGGATCTTCAAGTACTCACTATGAAAGAGAAAAAATATATACTTCATTTTCAGTACAAGACTGCCAGAAGCAATTTTTAAAATTAGAACACTAATATTCAAGCCATTTCTCACCTAGAGAAATGTCCAAATGGGCATAACCCACCCATACTCTAAGACGTTTCCCTTTACTTCTAAATGTTTTGAGGTGACATTTATAAGAATCTTGAAAAAGGAAAATATTGTAAAGTGTTAAAATACAATTTAGGGTTAGCATTCCAAAACGGTAGTCATTTCTGAGTTTTGACCATTTCCCTCAAGAATTGCCAGGGCTGCCTCCTTGTGTTCAACATTGACCATACTTCAATCTTTAGTTGGGTCAGTAGCCCAGTTACTGCAGGGAGTAGGGAAGGCAGTGATGTAAATCAGACAAATTGATCAATGTCTACCCTTAATTCACTTTCTTAAGAAAAGCCTTTTCTTGACTTGACCCACCATTCTAAGAGGGATAGAGGGAGAGGGGAATACAAAGTTATAAAGGGTTTTTTGACTAAAGAAATATTATTTCTTAATATTTCTACAGAAATTGAAAAAGTAGTTTTAAAATGTTTCCCTACAGTTCCTACCTCTGTGACCTTATTAGTTCTTGATATAGATACGTTATCATCTATATTGCTACTTTTTCCTTGCACTATTTTATTACCCAATTTGTTTGTTTCTGACTAGATAGACTGCACCATATTTTTGACAATCCCAAGGTGTTCCTGAACACTTAAGCTCACTTTTGAAATAGCGGTGTTATCTCTGTGATGCCATGTGATTGTCAATCTTGGAATACCAGTGTTTAAAAAATCAAAACTGTGGTTCATCCAAAGGGCAATGGAGATAAACATGGTAGGCGTAAGTAGTTTGCAACATGTTTACAGAAGTATTCCCAAGAAATAACATAAAGCAAACATGATTGGATAAACAAGGTGGACTAGGTAGCCATGTATGTATGAGGATAACAGACAGCACATTGGGTAGATCTTTGTAGCGGATCTGTGGGAAACACAGACAAGAATTGCAGAGGGTGTATCCACATCATTGTTTCCCTCCTGATGTCTAAATGCACATTTCCAAGTACCTATTGGAGATGTCAAACTGGATATTCCATCTCAAACTCAACATGTCCAAAATTGAATTTCTTATCCTCCATAAACCCCTCCCTTCCATATTTCCCTATTTCTGTTGATGGTCCTAATAATCTATGTACTAAGCTACAGTTTTATCCTTTATACATCATTCTCTCTCACTTCCCATAGCAGCAGCTAATCCATTGTCAAAACTTGTTTCTTGGGCAACTAGGTGGCACAATGGATAGAGCACCAGCCCTGAAGTCAGGAGGACCTGAGTTCAAATGCGGCCTCAGACACTTGACACTCACTAGCTGTGTGATCCTGGGCAAGTCACTTAACCCCATTGCCTAGCCAAAAAACAAAAACAGACAAAAAAAATCAAACACTTGTTTCTTTCTCCAGTATATCTCTTACGTCAGTTCTCTTCTCTCTACTCAAAAGGTCACCACCCTAATTTACTCCTATGTCACCTCTTGCCTGAATGATTGAATTAGTCTCCTAATTTGTTCTGTACCTCAGGTCCTTCCCAGCTTTAGTGCATTATACAAAGAGCTGCCAAACCATGTCACTCCCCTTACTCAATAAGCTCCCAATCATCTTTTACCATTTCAAGTACTGGCATAAATATGAAATAGCATTTACCTATAGAAAGGGAAGGGGGGGATAGATTACACAATTGGGGAAGGTTTATAATTATAAATAATGTAGTGATAATAGGTTGATTGACCCTAGGTAAGTCACTTAACTCTGCCTCAGTATCCTCATTTCTAAAATGAGCTAGAGAAAGAATGGCAAACTACTTCAGTATCTTTGCCAAGAAAACCTCAGATGGAGGCATGAAAAGTTGGACACAACTAAAAAAATGACTGAACAGCTGGAGTTAAAATGTAGGTTTATTTGCCACAACATAAACTTATAATAATTATAGCTAGCAAAGTCTGTGAAATTGAAGTCATTAGGGCACATTGCCTTTGGCATATAAGACTTTTAAGTTGTAGAACAGTTGTTAGCTTGCATTGGTAGAGGGAGTTTCCTCACAAGGAAATCCTACATTGATAAAATCATGGGCTCAGAAACAAAAATGTGTATACATGTAGTTTTAGGGTTTGTAAAACATTTAAAAATGTTTGATTTTTTTATAGACAATCATTTCTTGACATGCCGAAATAATAATAATGATATTACTATGTTTCTTAATGAGAAATTGAAGCAAAACATTTATTTTATTGTATTGTATTTATTTTTTGGTTAGGCAATGGGGTTAAGTGACTTGCCCAGGGTGACACAGCTAGTAAGTGTTATGTGTCTGAGGCCAGATTTGAACTCAGGTCCTTCTAAATCCAGGACTGCTGCTCTATCCACTGCACCACCTAGCTGCCCCAAAACATTTATTTTACAAAATTAAAACCTCACAGTCTAAATCTATAATTTCATTTGTTGGCAGCTGTCATTGTAGAGATTCCCTCTAATAGCAGGATCAACAGTTCACCTGTAACTTAGATTCTTAGAGAGTTAGATGATCACACAGCTTGTAAGTGCCAGATTCAGGACTTTATTCTAGGTGCTTCTGATGCCAAGACTAATCATTTTCGCTTGTTTTTTGAAGATGATTAATTAATTTATTGGTCTTAAATTTATTAGTTGTTTTTAATATATACAAACCTACATTCAGCTTCATTTGGAATTCTTTTCAAAGTTGAAGTCATTTCAGTACTTTTTCTAGTCATAATAAATTGTCAGTCCTTACTTAGAGAATTACTGTTTTAAAATTGAGTTGTCTTTTTCATATAATTTAGTTTTCAGGAAACCAGTTTAGAAGTAATGGATAAAAACTCCAGTCTGGGAGCCATAGATGGGATCTCAGAACTATGCTTCAGTTTTGGAGTTGTATCAGATATTCAATATGCCGATTTAGAAGATGGCTATAATTTCCTAAGAACCAGAATGAGGTACTACCGATACAGTCTTCATCATCTTGAAGGGGCTATTGAAGAATGGAATGAAGAAAGCAATCACCTCTTTTTTGTGTTGCAACTTGGTGATATCATTGATGGGTTTAATGCACAGTATAAAGTGTCAGAAGAGTCACTACAAAATGTTCTGAAGGAATTTGAAAAACTCAAAGCCCCTGTTCATCATACATGGGGAAACCATGAATTCTACAACTTCAGCAGGGACTATTTAAGAAACTCTAAGCTTAACACAAAATTTTTAGGAGACCAGATTGCACATTGTCCTGAGACCACACCTTCAGAAAACTATTATGCTTACCACTTTGCACCTTTTCCTAAATTTCGGTTCATTTTACTTGATGCTTATGATATGAGTGTTCTTGGAATGGATCAGTCTTCTCCAAAATATCAAGATTGTATGAAGATGCTGAAGGAGAAGAATCCAAATAAGGAACTGAATAGCCCTCAAGGTGAATTATTCCTTTGAACTGAGAATCTAATACATTTTCTTAAAATTCTTCAGATACCTTTTATTCAGCAGGAAGATGAACAATTAAGGTAAAACTATTACTATTCAGGGTCAGGACTCATTGACAGACATAAATGTCACATAGCTTATTTGCTATAGATTATGATTTATGTTTCTTAACTCTGAAAAATCTAGTGATTTTCCCCGTGTTACATGCATTTAAGAACAATAAATATTCCTTTCCTAGTCCTGAGATAAAACAGAATATTCAAATGATCAAAGACATATATGTTTGACTTGCTTTATTTGTTACAGGACTTTCCGAACCTCAGTTTGTCCAGTATAATGGAGGATTCAGTCAGGACCAATTGGACTGGTTCGATGCAGTTCTTACTTTCTCTGACACAAACCAAGAAAAGGTAGTGGTTGTGGGTAGGTTTTAGCTTTGTGCCTTTCTGAATTACTTATTACTTGAATACTTCAGGAAATGGAGAATTTTTGCTTTTCACAAAAGGAAAGAAAGTTATTCCATTTTGATATCCCAATTTTATAAAATGGATGTTTTGTTTTATTTTCTTATTGGGAAATACATGAATGTTACTAATTTTTCAAGGTGAGTCAAGAAATGGTCATCTATGAAATAACAATGTTTTGTAATACTTCGTTTGAACTTGTCATTTAATTAGGGTAGGGGGCTACTTGTGAGGAAATTCATTCAATTAATACAGGTTGGTGGATGTCCTACAAATTTATAGTCTTACAGTTACCAAAAACAATGTGCTCCACTGACTACTGCCACGGTCACGCAGACATAAATAATAGATATTGGTTCTCCTCCTTCTTTTCCTCCTCTTCCTCCTCCTATTACTTCTGCAACCATGTGTTGTGTCAAATAAATCCACATTTAGATTTTTAAGTCTCCCTCAAATGGGATTAACATATATGTCAAATATAAAATGAAATGAATAATTCCAAGACCTCAAACAAATCTTAGAAAACTTCTCACCAGTGAAAATTGACTGAGCAAAATTGAAGTGATTTACTGTGCCAGGCAGTCATTTTGCTAAACACTGGGGATACAAAGGAAAGCAAAAGCCAGTCCCGGCCATCAAGTGATATATTCTAACAGATAATATAACATGTAAATAACAAGGTACATAACAGACTAGATGGAAGGTAGACAAGTGAGTCACAATCAGTACTGAGTATTCTGCCTACTTGCATACAAATTTCAAATAGAGTCTCAGTCTTGATAAGACATTGTTTTAATGTTTGGGGATTTGGGGATAGAGCAATGAGTACAGGGAACTGGAAGTACCTGGAAACCAGAAAATCAAACTTGCAACATTTTTATCTGAAAAATAAGCATAAATAAAATGGGTGAAGGCTTCAAATTCTTTCCTAGTAAAGTACATGAATTTTGTGACATTTATTTTGCCATCAAAATCATATTTTTCATTACTTCCCTGATTCTTAGCTTTGTTCCCAACATACAAGGTTACCTTCTAGCCAAGTACTATGTTGATGACCTCTTACTGTATGTATATCCTTTTCCCCTGCACTATATGTTTCAATCCACCTTGGCAAAGAATCTCAAGATAAAACCACTAATGCAACCCCCCCCCCCCAATCTCCACCCTGCCCAGGGCATTATGAGGTATCTCTTTAGTGAAGGTTCATACTGCTGATTATTACTTTAACAATTACCATGTACCTAATGTAGTTTTTGAGCAGCTGAGAATCTTTATGTAAAACTCTGTCCTTGGGCGGTGGTTGTTGTTGTTTCAGAGATCTTATATATCTCTTTTTATTCATTTTACCTTCTTCCTTGTCAGGAAGGTACCTACCTTGGGGAGAGCAAAAGGGATATCTGGAATCCAGTAATTAATAGGATTTTATGGCTGAAAGGAACTATAAGAAATTGCCCTTCCCCTTCATTTGGCAGATGAGGAAATTGAGTTCCAGAGAGGTGAAATAACTGCACAGAGATGGGCACATTCTGTAGGTTTTAAGAACCACTAAACACTCATGTGCTTGTCCTGTAAAACCCCAAGATACCTTCAGGCCTTTTTCCAGTTCTGCTAAATAAGTTATTCTCTAATTTCACCTTTTTATCTCTTTAAATTCCTTTAGCATGCAACAGACACCTGATTTTTTTAGTACTGCTTTATAAGTTGTTACTGAGTTGATTGTTTAGCAAAACAAAAGATTTTTAAATTGAAGAACAAAAACTGGAATATGATAATTAGATCAGGTAAAAGGAAAGTAGTGATGTGATGGCAGTGGAAGGGCATGCAGCAGAGCTTCTAGCTAAATTAGGTAATAGTGAAGTAATGTGGTCCTGTCAGGGATTTCAGCAGCTCATGGTCATCCTGGCTCTAGTTAGACACTCATGCTAGGATACAGAGGAAATATTTTCCCTTTTCCAATGGTTTTCTTATCAGCAGAGTAAACACACAGTACCTCACAGGTACAGGTGTGAGGAAAACCAATTAAAAAATAGAAGTAGGATTCTAAGGTAATAGATGTTGCATGTGTGACCTTACACCCTTTGGATTCTATCTTTTTGATGTGTATAAAAACTATTTAGATTTAAGGGAAAAACGCAAGCTTTTTTATCCTAACTACATATGTATAGACCTATTTTTTTTTAATTTGCTCTTTATCTTAGCTTGCATAAGGGGCACCTCTCTACTCCCTCAGACCAAGGCAATGTGCTTATTACCTTGAGATGCACATGCTAAAAGTCTGATTGCATCAAATTACAAAGGAGGATGTTTCTCTCACTGTATAAACTTTCTTGCTCCATTTTGCTAAAAGAAAAAAAAAGGGAGGGGGGAACAATCTTGAAACATTTTGCTAGATTATTTGAATTTAATCTGGGTCATGCCTGGTCCTTATAATCAGTCTGAATATCAAGGTGGTGTTTCACATTACTGCCAAATAATAGTTCTTCACAACTAGTCATTTTGATGGAAAGATGTGACAGTATTCTTGAACTAGTTCATATTGTGTTTTCTTTTTAATTACAGGTCATGTTCCTATTCACCCAGACTGCTCTGATGATACATGCCTTGCCTGGAATTACAGAGATGCTCTCTCAGTCATTTGGTCTCATAAATGTGTGGTGTGCTTCCTTGCTGGTCACACTCATGATGGTGGGTACTGCATAGATACTCATGGTGTGCACCATATCACGCTGGAAGGGGTTATTGAAACACCACCAGAGAGCCAGGCTTTTGGTACAGTGCATGTTTATCCGGATAAAATGGTATTGAAAGGGAGAGGCAGAGTTCCAGATAGGATCATGTATTACAAGAAAGACTGAAAAGGTTAATCCTGTTCCTTGAATGGCTTTTTTTTTGTTAATTTTAAGAGATGTGATAGAAATTACTGTTTTTGTTAATAAATAACTTAGTCCCCATTTGGCATGTTTAATACATATAATAAACTATATATTTTTCACATTAACATGTTCTTTATATATTTTAGAAGTTCTCTTTTGTTTTGTGATTAGAACAATAACCATTATCTTCCTATTACCTACTCATGGAACTAATAACAATAGCAACCACAATAACAAAATATTTACATAGTATTTAAAGGTTTGCAAACTGCTTTATAAATGTCCTATTGTATTTTGTCCTTACAACAGTCCTAGGAGGTAGGTACTTGTATGATTCTTTGCTCTGAAAGCTACTTAATTTGGTTACTGATGAATAAGGTAGGGAATCATTTCATAGGTGAATATATAGATGGTATGTACCACCATGTGGGGGCCATTCTGCAAAGTTAATTATCATCAAAACCATAACTGTGACTCAGGTACCAAATGCAATAACCTGATATACTGAAGTCACCAGTTAGCGGTTACATGCTGCTTTTAATCAGGGGCCTGGGCAGTGAGAACCAACCTGGTGTGAAGGAGCTGAACCTGAAGTCAAGAACTGTGTTTGAGTCCTGCCTCTAACCCATACCTGCAGTGTGACATGGGCAAGTTACTGGGCTTTTCAGTACCTCAGGCAAGGAGAGGAGTTGTTGATCAAGGACCATCCATACTCTAAGTTGCCTAGATAGATGAATTCACAGGTCCAGTCCAAGAAAATCCTCTATCATACTTTTTTGCATTTATGCTCCCCCTTTATATTAATAATGCTAATCATTTATATATCCTACTTTAAGGCAGTAGTTTCCAAACTTTATGTAGTAATGGTTACCTTTATAAAATAATGTCATGCTTTCCATTGTTTATAAAATGCTCTGAAAATAATTCTTAGCTCATATGTCACTCAAATAAAATTAAAAATTTCTTAAAATTTTTATAACACACTTTCATGGTGGGGGGGGCAGCTAGGTGGCGAGTGGATAGAGCTCCAGCCTTGAAGTCAGGAGGACCTGAGTTCAAATCCAGCTGCAGACACTTGACACTTGCTAGCGGTGTGACCCTAGGCAACTCATTTAACCCTGATTATTTTACCAAAAAGCAAAAACAAAACAAAAAACCAACACTTTCATAAGAGACCTTGGTGACCAATGAATCCAACCAACTCCTTCATTTTACAAATAAGGAAACTGAGTCCTGAGGAGATTACAGTGCCCAAAGTTACATAGGTAATATTCATCTCATAATTAGTGTTAGCAGACTTTTAATAAGTCTTTCAGTTCTTTAAAGTGTTCACATTTATAATTTATTAAAATAATAAATCAGCAAGCAGTAAGTACCTATGTTAGGCACTGTATTAGACACTGGAAAAATAATGAAAAAATTAATTCTTGCTATCAAGATTACATTCTATTGGGGTATCATTGTGAAGAGTAGGCTTGTTTTTTTGGTGCAAAGTTTCTCAAAACATGGTGTGTCGATGATATTACTAAATGTAATTATTTGCCTGCCAGCTAGTCAGTTGAACATTTTTTAAACATCTGCTATATTCCAAGATGAGGACTGATAAAGGTCTTCAGATTTAGTAATTAAGATATTGCAGTTTTGGTTGAATGATGAGGTTGGAACCAGGCTGTAGAATTGAGAAGAGAGTGAGAGTAAAGGAAAACAGCATCTCTTGCAGATGGCTTTCTCAAGGAATTTAACTATGAAAGGCAGGAGGGATATGGGAAAATTGCTAGTGGGCATGAATGAAACAAGTTAAGGATGAAGGAGATATAGGCATGTTTGTAGGCAGTAAGGAAGTGGCCAGTAGACAGTGAAAGATGGAAGGATAAGTAAGAGAGAGGCCGGAGAACTATTAATCAAGTTTGACATTTTGTCTTTATAACAGCTGTAGCAGAAAAATTGACTTTACACAAATGTTATAAATAATAAAATGTTTACCACTTTGCAAAAGCAGAAGATACTTTATTAGCCAAAGCATAAGATTTTAAGGTTCATCTTGTCCTCTAGAGTATCAGTTTATCCATGGTTATGGTCCCATTCCCCTAGTGTTCCACTATCCATAAAATTTGTTGCAGTCAGTAGGCCAGAAGAATGCAGTGCCCCCTCTGCCAGCATGAAGCGGGCCTACTGTAGCTCCAAAAGACAAAAAACCTGGTCAGTCTTATCCCAGACTAATGTACACAGAACATTAAGAGGCAGAAACACCTGCTCAGTGGGTTCAGCTGTGACTGAAGATCTGTCAGAGTCCTTGGCCAAGTTGTTCAGCTGTTACCACCTCTACTGCAGCCATGGTAGCACTATCCAAAATATACAGTGGTTTTGACAATTGCTTCAAAACTCAGCTTTAAATTTTGCAAAGCACTTTCCATAAAACCTGAGGCTTAAGGTGGTGGTAGTTGAGGATCTGGGTTGGAATTTAGCTCTGGTACTTCCTCTGTGGGCTTGAGCAAGTCACTTAACTTCTCTGGGCCTGTCTCCTAAATAAAATCAGAGTAGATGATCTCTTAACATGTTTTCTAGCTCTAAATCCATTGTCCTATTATTTCTATCCTGCAGATAATCTATCTTACCCTGTTTTCTTAAGTGACTTGAACCCAGGACTTCTGAATCCAACTTCAGTGCTTTTTCCTTTATATCATGTTGTTTTATCATGTTGTAAATATCTTGAGGGCAATGAAATATTTAAATAAATATATATTTTCCCCCCTTGGTATCCTAGGATATAGCACTATACCTTGCACATACTGTCCCTATTGTAGAAATGAATTTTTTATTCACTATTACACTCTCCTTAGGAAAATGTTGAGTGTTTGAGGCAAATTGGCATGTTAAGAAGGCTGAAATCAACCTATTTGCAATTTGGCAAATGAGACCGGTCCCAGGGCAAAGAACAACTCGATTGAAGCTTTTTAAAAAGAACACTTGGGGCAGCTAGGTGGTGCAGTGGATAGAGCACCAGCCCTGGAGTTAGGAGTACCGGAGTTCAAAGCTGGCCTCAGACACTTGATACTTACTAGCTGTGTGACTTTGGGCAAGTCACTTAACCCCATTGCCCAGCACCCCCCCCCAAAAAAAATTATTAAGTTGGAGCAGAAAATTCTGAAACTAAAAAAGGCTTACTCTTTTTTATACATAAAGTAGGCTTTAAAAGGTGATTTCATTGTTTGGTCAAATTCTATTTGCCAGTTTGCATAATGCTGTTTTTCATGTCAGCTGTGACAAACAAAATAAGATGTGTATGAAGTAAATGCTGTTCACATGAATATCATAGCCACTGATGTCACATAATTTTATTAAAAGATCCATGAATATGTGATTTCTCAGAACCTCTTATAAAATAGTTTGTTGCTTCATAAGGCAACTTGCTAATGAAATTTATTTGTCTAGCTATCAATTTAATAATTTTCCTTTCCTCTACATGCAAATCTATTAAAATTACAGAAGACATCCTTTCATGTTCATTCAGCAAATGATTCCTAGGAATCTATGTATAAAGCCCTATACTTTCTCTTGTTGATAGTAAAAAAGTAAACAGTCATGGAAATATGCTCACTAATCCATTCTCCAAGACATTAATAGTTATCAACTATCCTGTTGCTTGAATGGAGTCAGTTGTTTTCTTATTAACCTATATTCATAGCTGAAGTTTGATATTTGCCAAAAGTGCAACATGGGTGACAGGTATCGTATTATCAAGGAGCCTTAAAGTTTTTCTATCATATAGGTCAATTAAATCTTATTCACTGATTTCCTTTGCAGCAGTGACATAAAATGCTTCAGGCTTTTGAGAAGATGCATAATAACAGTTATTCTATATTCTAATTGTTTCATTTAATTGATTAGTAGTGCTATTTATCAAGTCTTAAAAATCTGAATCTTTATCTCATTTAAATTTTTTTTCTAAACAAAAACTTATGACCAGACTTTGGTCTGTTTCTTTTTTAGAGAGTGCTGGACAATCCTTTCCCCATTTCCTGATTTGCCCCCAAGTTTCCCCATCATAGCAAACTTCCTTTACTTTTACCTTTCTAGAATAGACATTCCTTTGTGTTCTTTTCAACCTTAAGATTATAATGAATACCTGAGATCACTCTAATACTAGTTCAGTATGGTGAACCATTCATGGATTTGACTCTCTGTTCCTTGTCTTGGAAATACATCTGAGTCATTTTCCCTTCCTTGTATCCTCACATGTACACACTAAACATACTTTTTTTTACATTTCAAAACCTCCGAGTAATAACAATGCTACCCCAAGTTTGTAGAGTGCTTTTATACTTTTGAGTATAAAATATTGGCTTATTTAATCATCAAAATAATTTTGAGGTAGGTAGGGGAGATAACTTCCATTTTTAGATGAAATAAACAAGTAGAAGTTGACAAGCTGCCCAAGTAACACAGTAACCCATGTTTTAAGGTGCTTTACTGTTTACAAACAGCTTTTTTCCACAACTTTGTGACTTTGTGAATAGCACATGTAATGTTTTTGCCATTTTAGAAATGAAGAAATGGACCCAGAGAAGATAAATGATTTGTCTCATAGTAAATAATAATAGTTCAGATTAGCAGTCAAATCCCATGACTTCAGTATTCTTTCTACTACCTCACAGCACTTTCCCTTTTAGAAGAAGCTTCCAATGACTTCTGATTTCTGTCTGGTCTTACATGTATTATAGTCAGTTAATCTTAAAGAGCTCTTGGGTCAAAACCCTTTACTAGTATTATTAGTATGTCTTAAATCATATGAAGTACTTAAGTTGACTAGATTGTAATCAAATTTAATGTGACAGACATGAAAATATTCATTTTATGAAAACGATGATAAAATATATTTAAATGACTGTCTTGCAATGTGTTGGCCAAGTGTTTCGCATGTCTTTGTTAATATATATATAGAACCATGTGATAAATGGGCAAAGAGAAATAGCCATGGCAACAACCAGTTGAACTCTTCTACCAACTGGATTTCTAGAAAGAAACAAAAGATCAGTGTTATTATTTTAATTAAAAATTATCCCATCAAAAGTGCTAATAACTGTGCTACTTCTTATAACTGGTACAGAAAGACAATTCTTATTAGTAGGCTTAAATCACAGAACCAACCAGCATTAGCTTTCTCTAAAAACGTAGGTACTCTTTTTATCAATAGTACTTGGTTTGCTAGTCCTAAAGCTCCTTAATCTAATGGGATGAAAACTTACTTTGTTGAGATGTGGCAAAGACTCAGCCAAACTATAATAATCCCAAGTCCAAACAGCTCCCTAAGAGGAAAAAAGCATGGTATTTTTATATCTTTAAAGTGGTAAAAATGAAAAGCATATCAAATGAGTTACTGTAGCCAAGATTCCTCCTAATACTAATTTCTGAGTGAATACCTACCCTCAATCTATATAAACTCCTAAAGATTTTTCCCACCTTAATGATGATGATGATGCATCAATAATTTCATTCAGAAGTTACAAAACCCAATAGAAGATAAGAGACAAATGACTCGCCTTTATTTGTGAGATGCAAAAAAATAAGAAACATACGCAAAAAGGTTAAACAAGTCATTCAACAAGAATTTATTATCAACCTAATATGTGCCAGGCACTATGCTACTAAGCAAAAACCAAGAAAATGTGTTTCCTGTTTCCTACAGACACTTAAAAAATGTTATTCCTAAATATACAAGATTATACACTTTAAAAATTTCCTCTGTTGCATAATGGCAACATGACCTTGGCCACTTAACTTCTTGACCCCCAGACAATTCTCTAAGACTGCACTGCTTTGAGTCAGCTTGATGTAGAACTGCAGTCAGGAAGTTCAAGTTCCTACCTCAAACATTTACTACTTGTATGAGCCAGGGCAAGTCATTAAATTAATTTCTCACCCTCAGTTTCCTCACTTGTAAAGTAGGGATGCTAATAGACCTACTTCATGGGTCTAATTAAGGATGAAATGAGATAATACATGTAAAGTATTTTGCAGATATTACAATTCTATACAAATGTTTATTTTTATTGTTAGCTATCATGATTATTGTTGATAAAGGACATTTTTTACTGGAAGTTCCCTACAAAAGTGAACTTACAGGTCTAGAGAAGAAAAAGTGCTGTAATAAGGTCAGATGGAGATTGAGTTAGCTGTTTGTCAGTAAGGAGGGGTGACCACTGTAGAAGAGCAATTTCTGATCGCTAAAGAGCATATGCTCTTTTAGATGGACTTAACAGTGTGAGTTATGATCAAATGTGTCTCTTAACTTTTACAAAAGGTAGGAAACAGATTACTCAAAGCCAAAGTTAGTAGCTATGGGTACAAGGGTTTGACAAAGCTACAGGTCATCCCATCCTGTTGGGTTTCCTTTCATGACCCCAAATTCAATATACTCTGCTCACTGGTACCACTCAAAGATTTTATATACTATATATAGAATTTATTTTCAGATTCATCAATGAAGCAGTAACTTGTTATCTTGTGGCAGCTTGGGAGTAGACCTAGGCTGTTATTAGACTCTATCTGGAGGCAGAAATAAAAACTAGTGGGTAAAATTTACCTGTAAAGTCTCTGAATTTCAACAGATGGCTATAGATATGGACTATGAGAATAAAAGTAGAATATTAACGATAGAGGTTGATGAAAGGTAAGTTCAGTGAGTTGTGGGGACATATACAAATAGGTATTTGGAATGGTTCATGGGAAGAGATTACTAAGGGCATGGGGAACAGGCATAAACCAAGAAAATTTCACTACTGTTAGGCCTCAAGTGTTACTACTCAGTTGATAGATTAAACTTAGACATTATTAAAATTTAGATTTAACTACTGCTGAAATAGAATGCTGAAAAACTAACCACTGAAATAGTATACAGACAATCCAAAATATTATGAATCATTTATGATTTTTTCCATCAGAATCTGTTTAAGGATTTGCTGAGCTCACGGGATTGCATATTAGTAGAGTGGTGAGTTTTTCTGCTTGTCATTGGAGATATTTGATTCAGTTAAATGATATGCAGTGCTTACTCTGGAAAGGCACTGCGGTACAGTTGAAAAACCTCTGGAGTTGGAGTCAGAACACCTGGATTTGAGTACCAGCTTCACCATCTGTTCGGTTTTATTATAAGGATACAACCTGTCATTCTTAAGCCATAGGGATATTGTGGGAATTACATGTGATAATGTAAAAATGTTTTGAAAGTTAAAGATCTATACAAAGGTAAAACTACATCATTGTATGGTTGGTGGAGCTGTGACTTGGTTATCCTTTTGGAAAGCAATTTTGAACTGTCCCCCAAAAGTTACTAAACTGTGTGTACCTATTGACCCAGCAATATAATTTCTAGGCCTAGATCCCAAAGAGATAAAAGAAAGAGTGTACAAAATGTACAGAAATATTTATAGCAGCTTTTTTTTTGTAGACAAAGAACTGTTGTCAAAGGGTTGTCCAACAACTGAGGAATGAATGGCTAAACAAATTATGGTATATGAATATAATGGAATACTATTGTGTTGTAAGATATAATGAAAGAACAGATTCAGAGAAACTTCCAAAGACTTGTATGAACTGATGCAATGTGAAGTGAGCAGAACTAAAACAGTGTATACAGTAACAAGTTGTAAAGACAACCTTGAAAGACTGAAGAACCATTATCAATGCAATGACCAGCCACGATTTCTGGGGACCAATTATAAAGCATGTTATCCACCTCTTGACAGTGTTGATATACTTGGGGTGTAGAATGAGTCATGGGAATTTGTTTGCCTGATTGCAATTGTGTTACAAGGATTTGTTTATTTGTTTAGTTAGGAGGGGGAGGTGGGAAGAAGAGAAAATGCATTTTTGTTCATTGAAAGTAGATGATTTAAAAACAAGAATAAGGCATTTCATTAAGCTATTAAAATTTTTTAAATTCTCTACCTATTTAAAGCAAACACACCAAAAGTCATTGCTCACCTGCCTTCCTCCTCATGTAAGATGTTCCTTTCTGTATGAAGAAAGAGGTAGAAGCCCAAGTAAACAGTTCCCAGAGCACAAAGGAATAAGTGCAACTTGGTAAGGTTCTTCCAGATAAAATTACCTAGGACAAATAATGCTAAGGCATTAATCATGACCACGTATTTTAGAGGAGGGCTTTCCATATGGAAAAAATTAAGGTTATGGATTTTGTGTCAGTTGCCTTATATTTAAGAACTTATTAACAATAATAGCTTAATGCCAGGTATTCAAGGCAAACTTTTGGCTGGGTGCTGCATTCAGACAATCCATGTTTTGTGGAAGAAGCATATTAGTCAAAGAAAAACAGACTGCCAGCATGGAGAAGAAATGGCAAGAAGTCACTGCACGTATTAGATGATAAAACTTCTCCATGAGGATGGAATATATCACTTCTATAAGCATTTATTATGAAAAATAAATCAAAGATAATCACTACTTACAATCTACTTGAGGAGATAAAACACATACATACATAAAACAGCTAGAAAATAATTTGAAAGAAACAATCAAATATTTGCTAAAGCTTTTGAGCATCAGAGAGTATCACAATAAGGATATAATTATTGGAGTTAAAATAAACCCAGAAAGAATTTATGAAGGGTGGGGTCTGAAGCCAGGTTTTCAAGGATGAAGAGAAGAAGAAATAGTTGTACATCTAAATCCAAAGGTGTCCTTCCTGCCTCAAATCTCTAGCCACTCCAGTCCATTCTACACACTGCTGCCAAAGTAATTTTCCTTTAGTGCTGATATGACCATGTGACTTCTTTACTCAACCAACTCCAACAGCTTCCCATTGCATCTGTTTAGCTTTTAAAACCATTCATAGTCTAGCTCCAACCTACCTCTTCTATCTCACATCCACATCATTCCCTTTCCCACACTCTTTGATCCAGCCAGATTTGTCTTCTCACAGTTCCTCACTCAAGGCCATCCTCCATGCCTGGAATGCCCTTTGTTCTTAATTGTACTTCAGAATCTCTCTTCCTTTAAGATGGAGCTCAAGTAACATCTTCTTTATGAAGCCCTTCCTGATCCTCTCAACTGCTACTGCCCTTCCCATAGAGTACCCTGTATTTAACTACTTGGTGTGTGTATACATATGTCTTATATATGTTTATTAACTTTATGCTGTATATGTCCTCCCCATTAGAACGTAAACTCATTTTGTATAAAGAATCCTTTCATCCTTTGTACTGTTGTATCCTTACGGCATGGCAGAATGCCTGGCACATAGTTGGCACTTAAATATTTACTGATTGATATTCTCCTGCTCTTGAGTCAGAAGCAAACAGTAAATACTTAATATATTCAATTGATAGATTACTTGGCCTGAGAGAAACCTACGACTTTGGCTTTATTAGCACATTCTAACTAATTCAGCTACCATTTTAGAGATTGGTTGATGGGAAAAGAACTACATTGTGCAGTCTTCAGAATATGTGGTAACACCTTACTGTCCTACCACTAATACATAAAGTTATATCATCTTTGTATATGTTCTGGCCCATTTCTCGGAAACCTGTCCAGGTTTAGAGAAATATTTAAGCTATTCCAAATATCAGGCTCATTAGCAAAGAACTAAATTGAGCAAAATAAAATTCTACCCAAATGAGAATTTGCTGGACTTTCTCTATGTTGCCATTAACATGATCACCCTCTTCTCAATAGTCTCTTCTCTCTAGGTTTTTATAACACTGCTCTCTCCTGATTCTTCTCCTACCTGTCTGACTGCTCCTTAACAGTTTCCTTTGCTGGATCTTCATCCAAGTCATGCCTGTTAACTATGTGAATTCCCCAAGGTTCTATCCTATGTTGTCTTCTCTTCCTCTATACTGTTTCACTTGGTGATCTCATTTCATGATTTCAACTCATTTCCATAGTTTCAACTATCATTTCTATGCAGCTAGGTGGCACAATGGAGGTAGGGGGGAAGTACAAAACAATCTGTGGTATATTAATAGAATATTATGGCACTATAAGAAATGAGATGATTTCAGAGAAACCTGAAAAGATTTGTATAAACTTATGCAGACTGAACTTAGCCAAACCCAGGGAAAAATCACTTTGAAAGACTTAAAACTGTGTTTACTGCAATGACCAACAATGGCTACAGGGGATCAGTGATGAAACATCCTACCCACTCTCATGACAGAGAAGTGATGAGCTCAAGGTATAGAATGGACTTTTGGATGTGGTCAATGTGGAAATTTGTTTTGTTTGACTATGTATATTCGTTATAAGAGGTTTGTTTGTTTGTTTTTTTCGGGGGGGGGGAGTTGAGAAGAGGACTATCAATATGGTTTCCAAGAAGAAAAAGAAAACAAGAGGGTCACTGAAAAATTTTTTAAAATTCACAGAAAAGAATATAATGAAAGCCAGAAGGAAACACAGATAAGCCACAGTTATGCACACTTAAACTATGTGCCAGGTAACATCCTGAGCACTAGATTTACAGGACAACTTTGAAATTTACACAAACATTTATTAAGTTTAAAAGATGTTCTGCTTATCAGTATACCTAATAGGGATTAGTGGTTTGAGATAAATATCTTCTTTTTCTGTTCTATTTTGCATATGAAAAATGTGTATTTATGGTGTTTAAGTTCAGAATTTTGGAAAAAAAAATTAAGTGAAGAATAGCTAGCATTTGGCTTAGATGGCCCTGCTGGTCTTTCTAGACACAAGAAAATTAAAAATGTCATTCAGGGTGAGGTTGAAATACCATATACTCTGACTCTGAAAGTGGCATCAATAGATATGTGGGAAGGTAACAGTAACTATCTCAAAAAGTAAAGGGTATCATTTTATGTGCATTTAACCTAAACCCTTTTGGAATCAATTTAAAATTACCCATCTCTCAAAATTACAATAAACAGGTTTGCTATCCAGAGTATAAAATACTTCACTAATTGTCTTGAAACAGCTTATTTCTTTAACCTTCACAGGGTATCCTCTGATCCAATCTGGTATTTATAAACAATTCACTATTCATGCCCTTTATGATTTCATTGGCTTTGATCATATTCTCTCAATATCCTCTTTCTAGGCTAAGGAAACGGATGATCTAAATTATCGGTGATACTAAGCTTACAAGGATCAACAGATAAACAACCAACTACTCATGACACACTTGGTAAAGAGACAAGAATACCCCCAAATCTCACTTAGTTTATGAACTTTTCAACAATGAACAATAAAATGCCTGGCAGGCTAAGCCCCAGTAAATAAATGTATAATTTGCTTGAGAGAAGCATTTGATGATCACTGTCAAGAATATGGATTACTGTAGGAAATTTCTAACTTAATAATATATAAACCCATCAAAAATGACTTCTATGAATTTAGCATATACAGTAGTTTTTGGCATCTCTAAAGGCATAAATTTATATATATATATATATATATATATATAAAATAGATATATATATATATTTTTTTGGCTTTTTGGTGAGGCAATTGGGGTTAAGTGACTTGCCCAGGTTCACACAGCTAGTAAATGTCAAGTGTCTCAGGCCACATTTGAACTTGGATCCTCCAGGCCAGAACTCTTTCCACTGTGCTACCCTGCTGCCCCCATAAATATCATTTCTGAAAAGAAGACTTATAGGAGAAACTGAAAGAAGAAACTGTAATGGAGAATCAGAAATTTTGAAGGTTTTGGAATCATGAAGACCAGAGAATGAATTTGGGTAGGTGAAATTTGAGAGTACTTGAGAAGCTGAAAGAAAAGAAGGGCTAGAACCAGAGGAGGAGAATTCTAGAACAAGATAGGTTTCAGGAGAATAAGGAGGACTCAAGGAGGAGGACTCAGAGAGAGAAAAGCTTGTAAGACAAAGTACAATGAATACAGATTGCCTCATTTCCTCTCAGGAGGAAAGCAGGAGTGATTCTCACTTTTGCAGTGAAGGTAATAAAATTGCTTTAGCTCAATTAAAAAGCTAATTTCATACCTGTGATCAGAGGGTTAAGTCCAACAAGTACAGTAAGGATAGCAGGTATCATGTATATAACCTGTTAGCAAAACAGAATATCCCCAGTATCACATGAAAGTTTGAGTAACTCTTCTGAACTTTTATATCATGGGATCATGGACAGAGTGTAAAGAAATCTTGGAGATCATTTAGTCCAAACCCTTTATTTTATAGTGAAGAAACCTGAAGATCTGGATAGGTTCAGTCTTTTTGCCCACGATCACAAGGTAGTATGGCAAAACCTGGTTCTTTGATGACTCCAAATCCCTTGTTCTTTCCACTGTACCATGCTGCCTCTAAGAAATAACCATTAAGATCCAGCTTTCCAGTTTGAAACTATTAGTGCACTATTAAAAGGATTCCCCACAAATGTAGTTATGACATTTGTCCTCAATAGATTTGGGCTTACAAAGTCATCCTGCTGTTGCTAATTTTAAGAAATTTCTAACAGCAAGACATAGCAATACAAAATCTAGGCTAGACAGGTTACTGCTAGAAAATTTAACTGTTAACTGTTGATTTATGAAATCTTGTCTCTCCACTTTTAAGATAATTCTTTCTCTTATTCACAGTATTTCATTTCACTTTATTTTTTTGAGGCAATTGGGGTTAAGTGACTTGGCAAAGGTCACAGAGCTAGTGTCTGAGGCTGGATTTGAACTCAGGTCCTCCTGACTTCAGGGCCAGTGCTCTACCCACCATGCCACCTAACTGCCCCTAGTCATAGTATTTTAGAGGTATGGGTACCTTAAAGCTCATCCATAGGTGTTATCTCCACAGCTTATGACCAATATGGATGCTTATTAAAATCAAAACATGAAGAGTCTTGTTAGCCCTTGAACTATAAATCTAATCTCTGTCAATCTAATCTCCAGGGAAACCTGGAACATGCTTTCTGATTCAGTACCTTCAGAAGTCATGTCTTCTGACTCAGTCTTATATCTTATTTCCCTGTCAGCTATAGCAAAAGAATGAGGCTAGAAAATGCAAGCAGTATAGTTTCCTCCATAATGATCTTTTGATTAGAAAAGCTATTTTGGCAATAGCATTCCTAAGTCACTATACTCCTTTCTGGTCTGACTGCCCCTTGATCAATGCCTGATTACCACTGAAAAAGTATTCTTTACTAAAACAGCTTTCCACTGATTTTCAAAACCCTTTAAAAACATGTAGGAAGGAAAAAGTGTTTGGCTTCTTTAAGAAAGAACGAATTCCAGGGACAGCTAGGTGGTGCAGTGGATAGAGCACTGGCCCTGAAGTCAGGACGTCCTGAGTTCAAATTTGGCCAATGACACTAGCTGTGTGACCTTTGCCAAGTCACTTAACCCCAGTTGCCTAAAAAAAAAAAAAGACCCAATTCGAACAAGTCTAAATATAACTGCACCAAAAGACATTCTGAAGTGGAAACATCACTGGGCTGGGAGCCAAGAGGCTTTGGTTCTAGTTTCAGTTCTGCAACTACCTTTGATCTTGGGCAAGGTGCATCTCTGGTTTATAGTTCCCTCATGTGTAAAATGAGGAGACTGAGCTAGATGGGTTTTTAAGGTCCCTTCCCTTCCTCCAATACTTTGAATCCTACCAAGATAGCACAATTTAAAAACTTTGGAATGATTTCCTCACAGCAACTGTCACATTGGTCTGCACTTAAATCTTAAAAACTATGTATTTATTCATATTGAATGAATACTAAGCTTCAGGGCAGAGATTTTTAAATTTTCTGTTAATTGTCCTGTAAGCAAGTCCCATTTTGTAAACAATGATGCCCACTGTGAACACTCAATGAATACAGCAAATCTATTTGTAATGTTGATACTAGGTTAATTTTGGGAGCTATTTCATCAGGTGTACCAAAGTTTCAGACATTTGATTTGCCTCTATATTGAATCTGAATAATCAACAAGCACTGACGTGCCATGCTCTGTGCTAAGCACTGGGGATATTAATACAAGCCAAAATAAAAAGTGCCTGTCTTCAAGGAACCTGAAGGGGATACATAAAAGAAAGCTAAACATTGAAGGGGGGGAGAGCAGGGAAGGTACCTGATGAAAGCCTGGTTAGGGAGGAACTGACCAATCAGAGGAAGGGGCTTCAGGTACAGAGGAGTTACATTTCCTCTAAGAAGGCCAACATTTGGATATTCTTCAAACACTCCCCACCTTAAGATGAAACAAGTTTACAGTCACCTCTTGGGATCTCTCCATTGCCTCAACTTTAGTAGGAAGAGGGGACAGGGCAGGAGGCACCGAAGGAGGGCTGGAGTAGGGGGAGGGCAGAGAGGAACTAGGGATTGGGGAAAGCAGTGGCACCTTTGCTATAACCAACTCACTGGCTCTCAGAGGATGACACTGACAGTGACCACTGGCCTACCACTGGAGGGAGACAATAATATAATTTATTATGTCATGTAACAAGTAGTATTATAAGATTCTGTTTAATCAGTAAATTGAATTAAATCTGACAATCTAAAGTACATGGGAACTGATTAGAATAAATTAGATCATTGGCTACTATTGCTACACAATTCAAAACAAGACAAAAGTCTGGGAATCCTTTCATTGGAAATGCAATACAACCATGCCTGGTCAGACCACACAGAATTGAATAAAATCTAGACATATAAATTCCAGATATTCCATAATAGTATAATACTAACTACTTGATACTGTATAATGCTTTAAGATTTAAACAGGCTTGTGATGTAGTAGTATGCTCATTTTACAGATTCAGCATTTAATAAGCTCCCAACAGACACTGGTTATGTGACTCTTGGACAAGTCATTTAACTTTCTTGGTGCTCAGACTACTCTGTAAAGTTGCAGAATCCTTGCTGTTCTACATTGGTAGAGGAATTTTCTTACTGGACATCAGTGAAAACACAGATCAGTACCACTACTCTTCCCCAAAAATGGTGAGAAAATTGAGGCTTAAGGAAAAGGTGATTGAACTGCCAATGGTCACATATCTTTGGTCAGAGATAAGAATCAAACCTAGATCTTGAAGTTCATTTATTCACTATATCAAGCAGTCAAAGGAAAGACTTCACAATCCTCCTTTCTCATGTACTCCAAATCACAGTATTTAGATGAATTGAGTATTTTAATTATAGTCTACTTTGATTTTATTTTGTAATTATCCCTGATGGACTTAGTAGAAGCACAACCCTGATTCATCTGATTTCTGGGTCAAAAATCACAGGACAAGTCTTACAGAATTTGCCAGATGGATCCTGCAGGTTTAGAGGCTAAAACAAATGCAATGTGAACAGTTGCTGGTTGGAGACTTAGAGATCTCTTTTAGCATTCCTAACCCCCCCCACCCCAAAAGTCTGCTACTTCTTCCAATTCAAGAAAGGCAATTAATGAAAGTAATAGAGATCTCCAAGTCTCCATATTTTTATATTTTAGAAGACATGGATTTCATTGATGTGGTATTCAGCTAATGTTGTATATTGCAGCCTTCTCAATAAATTAAGTGGTAACCACTTGCCCAGTGTGTGGAAGTCTCCAGAAAATGCTTAATTTATATATATAAGAAAGTATGCCTGGCTTGCAGTTATTTTTTTTCCCCCTTCATTGAGAAAGGCTTTTAAAAAGTCTGTTATGCAAGTAAATTCAGAGAGTTTAAAGAACCAGACAGCAAAGCTACAGTGTGCTATACTACATGTAACTCATACTCACCATCCACAGTTCTGCATCTGGGTCATTTATCTGCAACAGGAAAACAGGCACTTAGATAAGCACACAAGGAAAAGACTGTCGAATCACACTCCATACCAAATTTAGTCTACTATGATAGTTAAACTATGATAGTTAAAAAGGAAATTCTCATTCTAGCTAAAACCAAAGGATGGCTTTACTATTTACAATAACTATCTTGGGTTTCTAAAGTGCGTAGGTCAGGCCTAGAATACAGGATAAGAAAAAGTGTTTGGAGGTGACCATAGAAAAGTGTTGAGAAAATATGATGCTACACAGCAAAAAAAGGTAGTAAGGGAGAATAATGGGATTTAAAGCTAAAAGACTATAGGGATCATCTACCTAGTACAAACTTTCACTTCACAGGTGAGGAAACTAAATACGGGCTGTCTCACTTGCATTTGTCTTCCCACCCCTGGCACAAGGTAAGCATTAAATACATGCTTGTTGATTGAATTGGAGGTCACACAGGTAGTAAATAGCAGGGCCAGAATTTTAACCCAGGTCTTCTAATCCCCAAACCAGAGCTCTCACAGATATTCAGCAAGCAAGGACTGTTTGGAGCTCACAGGAAGTGTGGCACAGTCGTAACAATTATCATTATCCTGGCAGCTGAATGTCTCTGGGTTCCTCCCACTCAATAAAATTACCACAGTTACTGATCCTAAAATGCCTGCAGATCAAGGGAATCAAAGATTCTGAGATGAAAAAAAAAAGCCAACAAAAAACCTTCGAAGTCATTTAGCCAACTTCCTCATTTTACAATCGAGTTGACTCAAAGAGGTTAAGTCGCCTGCCCGAGGTGACAGTGGCAGGTGTACTCATGAGTAGTGAGGTTCAGGGGAAAAACCCTGAATTTGGAATAAAGACCTCAGTCTGAGCCCCAATCCTGCCACTTATTCTGGCATTCAGTTTGCCCACCCGTAAAACAATGGAGCCGGAGTAGAAACTGTCTTCTTTAGAAATTTAGAGATTATATTTCTTCCTAATCATAATAAACACCACGTATACAGTGATTTGAGGTTTGCAAAGGGCTTTACAAGTATCTCATTTAATCCTCGCAACAACCATGAGAGGCAGATGCTATTATTATCCCCATTTTACAGATGAGGAAACTGAAGCATACAGAGTTTGAATGACCGGCCCAAGAAAATACAGCCAGTGTCTGAATCTGAATTTGAGTTCAGGTCTTCCAGCTCTAGGTCCAAGGTCTCCCTTATCCACCGTGCCACCCTAGCTGCGTCTGCTCCTGAACCATAGGGTACTATGGGGTATTAAGAAACACCAGACCTCTCTGTTTTAGAATCCTCTTCCCACTTCTAAGCAAACACCTCCCTCCAATCTTTCTTCTAGTCCCTCCCCCGCTTCAGAGAGTTCCTATCCCCTTCCACTTCCGCTCTCTCCCACCAACCACAAACAGACGCGCTGCAAGCTGACGTCAGAACCTACGTCTGCGTCCCGAGCTTAGCCTGTCGGGGCTGGGCCTGAGCTGACCTGCACGTAGGCCGCCAGCGCGAAGAACGCGGCCATGACCAAGTTGCAGCTCCTCCATAAGGTCTCTGACGGTGACCTCACGAATGCCATCCCGCGCTCCTAGGAGCACAGACCTCCGTATCCGTAGTGCGGGGAGGGGGGGCCCAGGAGCGCAGCCTGGGAAGGAGCTGGTTCCTGGCCACGCCCACACCACGCCCCCTCCCTCTGGGCCCCGCCCCCTCCCTGCCTGGACTCTGCCCTGGAAGAGCGGAGCCTTGTCTCCCACTAGAACAGCGGCGGTGGAGTTTGATGGGTCTGTGGCTCAGCGTTACCCTGGTGACCTCGCACGCTCGGGTTTGGTGCCAGGTCAACCACTTTGTTTTACGTATGAGAATATAGAGGGACAGAGAGACCTAAGTTACTTTGTGATGAATGACACAGCCAGGACTATAATACATTGATTTTTTAACCGCCTCTCCACAACAACAAAAGGTATATAACAAATATGCGTTTAGTTTGCATTGTTAACATTTTTTCCATCACTTTCTTAAGTCTGAACAACCAACAAAACAATCCAGCCTTGATTAGTATATTTCCAAACTCTATTGTAGATGCTCCCACTGAAATTTAACAATCAACTTTCCTAAGGCAGCAGGAGCTGGCTCTAGCAATTTCATAGCCCTAGAGTCAGTCATGCCCTAGTGAAGCTTTTAGATAATCACAATTAAAAAACACTTCAGAGTTTAAAATTTTTTTGGATCCCTCAACAACCCTGTAAAGATGTTTTTTCACATGGAGAAACAGGGCTAAGAGACTTGCCCATGGGCACACACCTAAAATTGTGTCTGAGACAAGATTCTAACCCATGTTTTCCATAATCCCAGGAATCGGCTTTTCCCAGTAGACCACCCAACTTCCTAGGGCAAACTGTTGTACAATCACATGCCAAAAGTATGAAGAGTACAGTCCTTGTTTGGATGACATTTAATTTTTTAAAATGTTTGCACTCTTTTGAGGATCTTTGGAAACTCTAGAAACCTCATAGAAGAATGATGAAAAGAGGGTGGTTTTCTGTGACAGATACTGGGGACACTGGTCTTTCTCAGAGCACAGAATAGTTTTTTTTAAAAATAAGATAGATATATATATATATATATATATATATATATATATACATATATACACATACACATGTGTGTTTATATATAATATATATATGTATGTATATATATATATATATATATATATATATATACAGTGTCTAATTGAACTTCTGAAAATAGATGTCCCATAGACATCCTAAACTCAGTGTATACAAAATTGAACTTATAACTAACTAAAACTTAATTGAAACAATTCAGCAAAGTTCATGAATGTAAAATAAAGCCACATAAGTCATCAGCATGTTTGTATGTTACCAACACAATCTAGCAGGAAGGTAAATTCCACTGAGAATAAGTACTGAATATATTAAATACTTACTTAGTCTACCTGCCAAGACACACACAGTAACTTTATTAATAGACCTATAAAACACTCTTTATACAAATTTGGATCTAAATAATTGGAGAAAATATGAATTGCTCGTGGGTAAGCTTTACCTGTTAGTAAAAATGGTAATATTACCAAAATTAATCTACGTATTCTGTGCCATTCCAGTTACGCTGCCAAAGGGTTACCTTAAGGAGCCAGGGGGAAACAAAGATCAAGGATTTCATAGGAAATAATGGGGAGAAAATGGTAAAGAAAGGAATCTAGCAGTATCTGATTTCAATCTATATTAAAAGCAGTAGCAGTAATTCCCAAAATGATTTAGTACTGGTTAAGAAATAGGTCAATCATTGGAATAGATTAGATACATTATATAATATACAGTTATACAATATGCAATTATATAATATACAGAAGGACATGAGCACAGTAGCCTAGTACTTGATAAACCTAAAGATCTGAGATGCTGGGTAAAGATCTCGCTATTTGACAAAAATTGTTGGGAAAACTGGAAAGCATTGTGGCAGAAGTTAGTTATAAAGCTCATCTCATGCCATATATCAAGATAAGCTCAAAATGGGCACATGACAGACCTAATACAGGGTGATATCACAAGCAAATTAGAACAACAAAGAAAAAAAATTGCCTTTGGATGGGGGAAGAGTTCATGATCAAACAAGAGATAGAGAGAATCACAGAAGGCAAAATGGACAATTTTGATTACATAAAATTAAAATGTTTTTGTGCAAACAAAACCAGTACAATTAAAGTTAGAAGGAAGACATCTGGGGAAAAAATCCTAGCAGTAAGCTCCTCTGATAAGCATCTCATTTCTAGGATATAGATATATATGTACACACACACACACACACATATATATATATATATATATACAAAAATATTTGTATAAATTATGTATACATATTATGTTTATTTAAATTTATATATGTATAAATATTTGGCCTTAGAAATGAGATGCTTGTCAGAGAAACTTGCTAAGATATTTTTCTCAGTTACCTGCTTTCTTTCTAATTTTAGCTTCATTAGTTTTGTTTGTGCAAAAACTTTTTTAATGAAAAATGTTATGTATGTATACTATACACACACATACACATACGCACATAGACACATAAACACACAGTGCATTAACTCTGTTAGGAAGTGGGTGGCTTGTTTTATTTTAAGTCCTCTGCAATCATGGCTGATCATGCATTGCTCAGAGTTCTTAAAGTCTTTCAAAGTTTGTTTTATATTTTTGTAATTGGAGAGATGTACACCTAAACAACTCTAAGGTCCTACCTCCCACTCATCAGATAGGCAAAATTGAAAAAAATAAAGGAAAATAGCAAATGTTGGTGGGGCTTTGAGAAAACAGGTACATTAATCATTCTGCAAAGCAATTTAACCATGGCCAAAAAGTTATTAAACTGTACAGATATTTTGACTTAGCAATATCTCTACTAGGCCTGTGCCCCAAAGAGCTCAGAGAAAGAGAAAAAGGAACCATATATTTAAAAATATTTATAGCAGTTCATTTTGTAGTGGTAATGAGCTGGAAATTAAGAGGGTGCTCATCAACTGGGGAATGGCTAAACGAAGTATATGAATGAAATAGAATATTATTGTCATGTAAGGAATTATAAAAAAAAAAAGGATATGTTCAAGGAAACCTGGAAAGATCTGTATGAACTGATACTGAGTGAAGCGAACAGAACCCAAGGAACATTTTATACAATAACATTTTAAATACAAACAACTTTAAAAGACTTAGGATCTCAAATCAATGTGATGACACCATGGGATCAATGATGAAGCATGTTTGTCAAGCACTGTTTGACAGAGACCTGATGTAATAAAAATGTGGAATGATGCATGCAGCCTTGGTTATGGCCAGTGTAGGAATGTGTTTTGCTTAATTGTGAATATTTGTTGCACGGGTTTTGTTTTTCCTTTTTTTTCTATAGTTTTTTTGGAGGAGGCAAAATGGGGGTGGTACACTAAAGTTAGCAGTCCCCTTCATCCCAAGATGGGAAGAAAAGAGGAGGAAGGTCAGAAGGAATCACAGACAAGGAAGACAAGTTTTTAACATTACATGTTAAATTTATTTTATACTGAAAACAAAAGTTAATGCAATATAATTCACAATTTCATGTACAGACCTCTTCTATTTCACATTTTACATGAAATGTTCATTTTATGAGATTTCTATTAAGTTCAAAATTTTATATATATATATATATTATATATATATATATATATATATATATATATATATATATATATATATATATATAATATATATATATATATATATATATATATATATATATATATATATATATATATATATAAATGCAAACCAACAACAAAAAAGAAATTGCTTCTGTCCCTCTTCTGTTGTTAGAGTGGGAGTGGGGAATGAAGTTACAGCCTCTGATGCTTGATTTAATTCCTTATTATTGACTTTGCACTTTGTTAAAGTAAATGACCTTTACTTTGTTATGAAGTTTTGCATTTTATTTTGGTTTGTTCTGAGAGTTAGTGGAAATGGAGACTTAGTTATGGATTGACATAGATGATTAGCCTTTTATCTGTCAAGGCACCCTGGGAGTAGCCAATAGGGGAAATATTAAAGGACAGCAGGCTACTGTGGTATAGGTAAAAAATGTAGTTCATTTTTGAGGTAAAGAATAGGTGAAAATACTATACACTTTGAATTGGAGTACTCTGATAAATGCTTTTTTTCCCCTTAGACATTTAAATCTCTATCAGTGAAACTTGAGAGTGGAATCTGATGTCACTCTCTAAGGTGGGGGGTGGAAAATGAAATCTATAAATCTGTATTTTGTCTCTGATTGCTTTTGAACAATCTTTTTAAAATGATAAGTGCATGCTTTGTTTCTTCATGTTTTCAGGTAATGTATTGATTCTTACTTTATCTCTTAGAGCTTTATCTTTTAGTTTGTCATCTTTGCTTGTAATGTTATGAAGCATTTTTTTTGGTTGAGCTGACCTATGCCCTTTGTTGCATTTTCTCCACTCCACTTACCTGAGAATTTCTTTTCTCATTGATCCCACTTATTCAAGTATTCTGTTGCTTTCTCCAGCTTGTTGACATTTTAACCCATTTATCTTGTTCTATTTTTACTTGCGATAGATGTCCCATTACAGATGTCAGACCTTTCTTTACTGACAGCATATCTTTCTCTAATAATATTAGATCCCACTTAATTTTTCTTTAAAGTGTTTATTATTTAGTTTGATGCACCTCATATTAAATCTATCTTCATTTCCTGAGTTGTTGTTGACATTAATTTGATTTTTATTGTTTTTCCTCTTGGAGGTGTTTTTCCCCCTGCTCTTTTCTTATTTCTTTGCCCTTCTTTTCCATTATCTAAGCAGTTATTTTCTCTTGATGTTCTTTGGTTGTTCCTCTTCTTTTCTTTCCTTCCCATTATTCTATTTATTTACTTTATTTGGAGGTGTTTTATTTACTCATGTGGGTAGTAGGATATGGGCTTACTCTGCCATTTTGCTGGAATTGTCATCCTTTTACCTTCCTGTTTTTTTCTTTTTCTTATACATATTTGTACTGCATTTGGAGATACTTATTCTCTATCTAGAAACCCTCTTCTCTCACTTACCTTTTTATGGCTCCCTATAACTGTTACTAATGCCAAATTGCTACCACATTTTGGTATAAGGCCCTGTTTTTTCACATTC